ATGCCAAGATAATCCCGGACCTCTCGTGCCGTTCCGTGCGACTCTGAGGGCATAATTCGACGATTTCTACTGGTTCGGGGATGTCGACATCATTATTAAGAAGCATGGATGTCATTAACAATTTCGCGATTCGGGTATAACGAGTATCGACCCTCACGCATGTCAGTCCTTATGTCCATCATCGACGCGGGCAATTGGGCAGTGCTGACGGAACTTTTGTCTTGTGTTACACATACTACCTATCCGGATGCTCCGTCGGGACCGAATGCGTCCATGATGACTTCGGGATCTCGGTGATCTCGGGGTTAACCCTACATCACAGTGTATGCAAGTGATCAGCCACGAGAGGCTTCTGATCGTCCATTACAGGAAATAGTATCGACCATGATACCTCATGCTTGCAGGACCATGGAACGTTTGGAGAGCTCAAATTCTATAAGAGGCAGCAGACTGCTACCGTCATCAACTTTTCGCATCACAGCTCGCAACTTTGAATCTTAATCATCAGGACAAGCAGCTTCATCTGATTCTCGACGCCATAGTCAACATGGTCCACCGCAGCACCTTCTTCAAAGCCTTGGTGGCTTCACTTTCTGTTGCTCCAAGCTCAGCCCTACCCGCCCCTCAGTGAGTCCATGAATTCATTCTGATGCCAGACCAATAGCTAACAAATATCAGAATGGGCGATTATGGGGAGAATTCGGGACCCGTAGGCGGAGTCAAGCCTCCAACACCAACAGTCACTTCCACCAGCGGTTCGCTGTACGGCGACTCTAGCTTGCTCGGCGGCAACGCTCCTCTTCCAGACCCTGGACAGGATTCTGCCATCGTCAAAGACCCAAAGCTCGTCAACGGCCAGCAAGCAGACCCCAAGCTCGGGCTCTATCTGGATTTTGATGGTGTAGATGTACCCCAGCCGATCCGTGGCAAGCTAGGTGCCACAGACCCTGGTCCTCGAACTTACGACTATGAGAGACTCAACCCCGATCTCTTCGCGCCTCCAGGTACAGATGCCGGAGATGTCCCCAACGCCATGTGGCCGCTTGGTCTTTCCCACAACCGTCTTGGTAGTGAAGCTGGCGCCGGATGGGCTCGACAGCAGAACCAGGATGTCCTTCCTGCTGCTACTGCCATGGCTGGAGTTGACATGCGTCTCGCCCCGAATGCGTACCGTGAGCTTCACTGGCACACAGCTAATGAGTGGGCATTGGTTACAAAAGGCTGTCTGCGTGTTGCCGCCGTCAATGACGAGGGCAAAAGCTTTGTCGATGATCTCTGCGAAGGTGATGTCTGGTTTTTCCCTGCTGGCGTACCTCACAGCCTCCAAGCTTTTGACAAGGGAGTTGAGTTCTTGCTGGTGTTTGATCAGGGCTCCTTTTCTGAAGACGAGACATTCCTTGTATCTGAGTTGTTCTTGCGAAACCCTGTCTCCGTTCTGGCAAAGAACTTTGAGACCGAGACAACGGCCTTTGATAACATCCCCAAGGATGAGCTCTATGTGAGTACGATACCCCAGCACCAATCTACATCCTAACTTGTGAATTTGCAGATTTTCAACGGAACGCCAGCACCGAAAGATATCGAGAAACAGAACGTGACGGGTTCAGCTGGAGTTCTGACAGGCAATGATTCATACACGTACCATTGGTCTCAGCAGAAACCCCATACCGTACCCGGAGGCTCTGTCAAGATCATCGACCCTACGACATTCCCGATTGCGAAAGGCTTCTCGGCCGCTCTTGTTGTCGTCCAGCCTGGTGCACTCCGCGAGATCCATTGGCATACTACCTCTGACGAGTGGAGCTACTTCCTCCAGGGCAGCGGTAGAATCACCGTTTTCAAAGCAGCCTCGTCCGCTCGTACCTTCGACTTCACTGCTGGTGGCGTTGGATACATCCCTGCAGCAAACTCTCACTACGTCGAGAATACCGGAACAGAGGACTTGATCTTCCTTGAGGTCCTTCAGGCGCCCAAGTTTTCAGATGTTTCGGTGGCACAATGGTTGGCTTTGACACCCAAACAGATTGTCAAGGATCATCTTAAGGTTTCAGACAAGTTTTTGGACTCGTTGCCCAAGGAGAAGCAGTTCATCAAGACGGGAGACGTGAACATGACGGCCATTGCAGACGAAGCTTAGAGTTCATCAATTAGAGCTGAGGTTGCGGGTATCTGGCTCAAATTACATACAAGCTTCTGCTTCGACATATCTTTCATAGTTAATAGTGACTTGACATCCTGAGTTCCGCATGATATCGTTGTTGAAAAAAGTGAATGGCTAATGAAAACAGATCCTCCTGACAAAAATATCACTTTTGAGTTTTAGTGAGACGTGACACAACGTTTGTAGGCCAGCCGTACAATCCGATCCACTTGGGTAAATGACATCACTGACATTCAAAATATTCTATTGATGCTTACAATCAACGGGAGCAAAACAGTCTAACAAAGGAGTCGGTTGAGTACTTGATGTCAGCGTCATCGAAACTTAGAGTCTTAGACTACCCTACGACGACTGCACTTCCACTGATCAGGACCAGGCTAAGAAGTCGATAATATCTTCTTCATATCTCTAATAACTAATCAAGCCAACCTAGCATCTCGATGAGAGAAAACAAGCTCATGGCTGGCTCTTGTCTGTCCAATGACGTGCGGTCGAGCCCTGGATGAGCAAAGCCAAGTTTGAGGAGCACATGCTTGCCCCACCAATACCCAAGACACTTGTTAACTTCATTGGTGGACAATCAACAGCAGCCGAGGCTGGTCTCACGATGACAAGTACAAGTTGTCCCGCGAACTTCCAACTGTAAAACAAGTATTCTTGATCTAGCAGTTCTCCAAACTAAACCCAACAGAGGAGCTCACAGTAAGATTCTGCGCCACAAAAGTGATCGACATGTGAAATTACTCTATCGATGAGGCCGTAATATCGCTCCTGCATGAAAAACCTGGGTTCTGGTGGCACTAGCTACGTAGTCGCGACATCACTGTGGCGTAAGCTCTCCACTATGACCACTAAAAAAGCGAGAATGACAGGGCATCTGAGATTTAGAGTGACAGAATTAGGGGACGGCCAAGCATCAAAACTATCGATAGATCTGGCACTTTCAGGTACACAGAAGAAGCAAACTGATTGTATGTTTGAATGCGTCGTCATTGATCTGAAATCGTAGAAAACTGTGCAAACAATGACGATCGATGACAGCATGAGCCACAAGCGCTGCCAAGGACTATGGCATGAGCTCATCGATGTGCCAGAGCTCTTAAGAGAGAGCTCTACAGCTTATTTGAGCCACAAAAGTTTTGGCATCTGACTTCTATTCTACTCACACATCACTCGAATCACAACAAAATTCTCACACACTCGCAATGGCATCTGAACTTCCCCCCAATGCCCTCGGCAAGCTGGCCTCATCCGTCAAGAACATCGTGACTGGTGTTCCTCTGGAAGACCAAAATGAGACCACTGCGCCAGCCACCAAGCAAGTCGATAAGAGCCTCGATAAGACTGTTGACAAGACCGTCGAGACTACCGACGATGCCACCATCCACAAAGAGAAGCAAGCTCCTGTTGTACACGAAGATGTGAAGTCTCACGAGCATGAGAGAGTTGATACCGAAGTCGATCACGAGGTCCACCAAGACCACTACCATACCACTATCCAGCCTGTCAAGGACAAGAATGTCCTTCCCACCAAGCACGTCTACAAGGAGAATGAAGTCGAAGAGGAAATCGACCATCGCGATAACCAGGCCAAGATGAAGGCCAAGGAAGAAGCGGCGAGGATCAAGAACGAGAAGAACGTTGAGGACACTACCCACTCAAGAGAGTATGCCCCCGCGAAGGAGAATGAGCACATTCATCAGTAAGTACCAAGTTCGCGCTTCCTTCAAGTACAGGAATCTTACATATTGTCCCAGCCATCTCCACGAGAAAATCCAGCCCGTCATCGAGAGAGAAACCGTCCAACAGAAGGTTATCCACACTACAAATCACATTCACGAGAAGGAGCAACTCAACGACGAATACCACGAGGCCACCGTTGCCCCGGCGATCTCGATGGACGAGTTCAAGAATGGCGGCGCCAAGACTGGAACTACTGTCACCAAGGACATTGAGATGCCAGTTTCTGGCGTCAAGGCCGCGGCAAAGAAGAGGGAAGCTCTCGGAGACGTCGATGTCGAGGAGGGTTCCAAAGTCGGTAGGTCAAAATGTTCCCTAAGCCAAAAGCCTATGAAATAACAAGTTACTTAGAATCAATCTAGTGAAAAGGAAGAGAGGTTCTTCCTGTACAGTACTTGACTGTAAATGCTCATGCCATCGATGAATAGGGTATGGCGAAGAAGAATTGTATTATTAAGATGGAGTTAGGTTAGTACTTCTATAGCGAATGAACAGGTTCCGACTTAAGTAAGAAATATTTTCGTTGTGATGTGATATGTTTCTCGCCATGAGCTACCTGACGCCCAGAAGCCCGTCTCGGTAGAGCAACTCTATCCAAGGACAACCTTGCAGTGAGCACCACTACCATTGGCAGTGCAGCCTTTATGTATGCCAGTCTCCAAAATCCGTCAATGCATTGGACCCATGCTTGTTAAACTTTCGGGAGGCTTCTAAGAAGAGAGATGATGCACTTATCACGCCCGTTCGATCACATCCGCAGTAGGAACGGCGCCCACCTCCGCTGCAACATGGGCTGATTGTTCGACGAGTGTACGGAGCTCCGCCCTTGCCGCAGTCGTTGCGGCGGGTCAGCAATGTTGCTCGCTCCACTGGGCGGATCATGGGCAAATATACTCGTGGTGGTACGGTTCAAGGAGTCAAAATCGCTTATGGAAACAGATATCTGAGTGCTCACATCCGCAGGCCTGAGGAGATTGTGGTTTCAAAGGACACTAAGAGTTGATTTCTTGGCAGCATCCATGGCTATCTGGAAGAGGCTGGGGCCGATGCTGATTCTGGCAATCCCCAACTTGGCAAGCTGCAACACTGATAGTGCTTCTCAAGTCTGACCGAGGCGTATCGCGACTTGGCCATCAAGCCCCCCGACAAGTGTCTGTACGTCAGCTTCCGTGAAGCCGGCACCATATCCGCGCCAGAAGAAGACAGTTGTGGCTCCTGCGTCTAAATATGCCTTCCCACGCCGGATTGCTTCTTGCAGGCGCGCTTCATTGTGGAGGTTGAGGCCCTCCTTCAAGGCGAATACGTCGCAGCGGGCGTTGATGAAAAAGTCAAGGAGGCCTTCGTCAGCTGCGGCTTTTACTGCTAGCTGTAAGCGGCGAATTTGTTCGCTCGAAGGACACAACGAATGCTCGACCCCTTGTCCGAGACCATGAGCTCCAGCTTGTATCGCCTGGGTCACTGCTTCACGAAGACAAGACCCATAGCCATCTTGAAGGTCAACAGAGAGCGGCAGTCCGACAGAGGCAACCGTGGCAGTAATGTTTCGAATTGAGGCGAGATTCTGTTCCAAAGTAAGCTCTTCGTCTTCTACGCCTAGAGAAGCAGCGAAGGCCCATGAAGCGGTAGCAATTGCTTTGACCGGTTTCGAGGCTTCGCTGTTGAGGGACAAGACCATGTTCAGAGAGGCAAGGTCCCATACGTTGGCAAATATAAGAGGCTGGGAAGGGATATGAACAGACTTTAAGGTCTGCGCGAGGCGTTTCGACCCAATGGTTGCAAATTGATTCTGTGTCCGTCGTGTCTTTTCTGAAAGAATGGCCCATACCATCAGTACCATGTTCAGAACGGACTACTTGTATAGGCGGGCATTGAATTGTGCCAAGATGGGTTATTGACAAGAATCCACATTTAGTCAGTCAATGCAAGGGTGGGGAGGTGGTCTTGACTCGCTGAATTGACCGGCCCTTTAAGATTCGGGCATTCTTATGTCAAGCTGCCCGACTCACTAGCAAGATTGGCAATACTAGAGGAACTTGGCCTTGCCACCTTTCAAGAGGTATAGAATCTGCACGCAACACACTGAAGGTCCCCTGATTGTCTCCTAAAGCTGTTGGTCTTCAGAGTCCTGTGAGAGGAAGGCCTTGATGATGTCCGATCCCATACCTGCACCAACCTCGACCCAAAAGTCTGGTATCACATTACAGAGCAGGCTGTAAATCCGAACTACAATAATTACTTCAAGGCGATGCTTCAAACGAACCAGGACACAAATTCAAACGATGCGAACCTCCACGTGTGGCCAGTGAAGAGGAATAAGCAAGCCGAGGAGGCATACTGGCAGTTCGTGAGCCGCCCTCATCAATCTTTGACGCCAACTAACATACGTGGTCCTAGCAACCAGTTGACTCGAGTCTCAGCAGGAATATACTGAGGTACTCACAGACCAGCGCAGATGAGCAACTCGCCGTTTGCCTTTCCAGCGACGCAGCCGACGCAAATACGAGAATACGACCTTGCCTACTCGACGCAAGCAACGATGAAACACAACGGTGGGATGTTGCAGAGTGGAAGTCGAACAATACGCACGGGTTCATCAACGTCCATAATGGAACCAAGTTTCATTTCGACTGTATTCCTAATGGGCCTGTCTTTATGAGTCCAGACGTAGACGGCACTCCTTATCAGCGTCGGCAGCACTGACTTATGACAAGTGCGTCAAGCGTGAATGACAAGGCTTTCAGCACAACAGTTTCGGAGGTGAGCCACCCTCCAATACCCCTCGAGCAACGACGCCTGTACCCTTGCTGACAGGAAGCGTAGGTATCTTCTTCGACTTCATCTGAAGACGACCCAACTTCGACCGCCGGTTCAGAATCATCATCCTCAGGCGGGAACTACTTTTCATCAGAGAAGATAACTGGTGTCTGCGTTGGAGTAGTCCTTGGTGTAATTGCCCTAGCTATCTCAATGGCAGCCTTGTTTTTATGGAGGGGTAGAAAGAGGAGGAACGGAGAAGGCTCACCCCAAGGGAATACGACGGAAAGCGACAAAGACCGAGGTGAGGGCAGCTTCATGGTTCCACCGCACCAGCGTTTCAGTCCCGAGGACGTGGGGAGGGTTCCAAAATGTAACGAGCTCGACGGAGGCCCTGTTGATGCTAAGCTTCCTTTGGATCAGAGATATGAGCTTCCGTGAGCAATGCGTGAAATCTGATATGTATTGCCCTGCAACATTCGATACCCGAAATGATACGAAGGGCAACGTTAGAAGATTGTAAGTTGAAGAGCGGTTCAAGTAGAAGCTTGACAAAAGATTTAGATAGATACTCAGGTAGTTCTACTTAGTCTAGTAACAAAGCGATGAGTCCATGGCTGCCATGCCGGGCCTTCCTGGAGTGGTCTTCCTCGTAATCACAGAGTCTTCAATGACTCCTCTCAATGCTTGCCTGGGAAAGCCAGGGCCTTTCATCAAACAAACCGCTATCTTCGTCAAGTTCATTATAAGCAGATTCAGACTTACTCGTACTTTCGGCGCTTCTATCTGCGGTCGCGAATCTTTTGACGGGAAAAGGTTGACAAAACTCCAGCTATCTGGCTGCGCGCAGCTAGGTTCTAGGCGATTCCCTGACAGGATCGCCAAAGCACTCGAGTCCAGCTCGATGGTCTCTTTATCCACAAAGCGAGCGCCAAGTGCCACGAGCTGTTTCTCGACACCAAGGACACTGAGGAACTGGGGGGCTGATGAATCTACCATCGCAGCATTCGTGGCACAATTCGCAAGGTCGCTACCGGAAAACTCTTGATCCCACCACCGCCCTCCCCACGGTAACTCTGCCAAGGTCTGAAGTTCATGCTTGCCAGGGCCAAGGAGCCATCGCATTCTCAAGATCATCTCATCCCTTTCGCGGTAGCGAAGCGTCGAGCCAAACATACGACTCTCTTCTGATAGGGGTAGCGGAGCATCGATCGATCGACTGAGAACAAGGCAGCCAACCTTGAAGCATGAATATGTGAGACGACAGATGAAGGAATCGAGGGACAGAGGTGGCAATGAGGATGTCCACAAAAGGGGGCTGAGAGGTGCTGGGATCGTGGATCGTGGGTAGCTTGCTTGGGAGTAGATTGTTGGTACCGGCAACGGCACGGTTGTGTCTTCAAACAACGGCATCTTTATGGGGGAGTCGTCTGTAAGGGGTATCGGGGAAATGGCAGTCATCGGGTCGTTGGGAGTAGCGGTACTTGTAATACTGAAGTTTGAAGTAGGGAGCTCATGTTCAGAGTCTTTGGGAGAATTATATTGAGCTTCAGTGGCTTTTACTCGAGCCTTACGAGTCTTGGGACCCTGGTCGGGGTCTCCGGCTTCATTGGCCAGTGTAAGAATGTCGGCGATAACGCCTTGAATGCTGGCTATCATGCCAGGGCTCTGCTGGACGACATCTTGCTGCAAGAGGCCGTCTGTAAAGTCCACTAATACTGTGCTCATTCTCTCAACCACGCCTTCGAGATGCTTTATCCGGTTGCATCGTATCTCATCGACTTCTTGTTTCTTCCTCCGGAATTTTAGCTGCGCTGCCCTATTACGAGCGCGACGTTCCTGAGTCTATTGTTAGGCGACACGGGAAACTTGACATAAGAGACCCGAATAGACTTTACCTTGGCCTCTGGGCTGGGTGACTTGTTCGAGCGAGGTGACATTGTGACAGAAGAGCGGCACGTTTGTAAGCCGGTCGTGCGTTTGCTGGTTCAGAGAGAAGAGCAATGTTAGTCCGTGACAAATTATAATTATTGCTTCAAAACAGATGGGAAGAAATGACCTTCAGTGGATTTGAACTGGAAGGTTTCGAGATACAGGCGTAAGACACAATGATGTTTAGTGAAGGACGGGGAGATAATCTGGGTGATCGGACCTCTCGCTGAGGAAAATGACATAAACTTGCCCGACTGGCCCCGCTTTTGATGCCAGAGTCCAAGAGCTAACTTAACTGGGACAAGTTCAACGAATGTCAGCGACGATCAACCTCAACACAAATTGACATTGTATCAAAGAGCCTCGGCTGAATCCATTCGACGCGGGCATCAGTTTAAAGAACAAGAAAAGAAAACATGACATCTCGCCCGTTGATAACGCTTCTCGACATTCCAAGTATAACCCGAAAATCGTGGTCTCCAAACGTCTGGAAAGGTCTGGTACCTTCGCATCGAGGCCGCGCGTTAGACTGACGCTTCAGCGGTAGCCCGGCTCGTCCTCAATTACAAGGCATTGCCATATACAACAGAATGGCTTGACTTTTCCAACCTCAGCACTTATATGAAGCCTCAGCAAGTCTCTGAAGCCCCAAAACTGATTTTACATCAATGATTGACAGCAGCTCAGTGTGAAACCGAACGAGCCGCCTTTGAGCCCGCATACCATCCCCTGCATCCTGTTGCAAGAGGGCGAGACCACAAGAGGGATCATGGGATCAAAATCGATTGCCGAGGAGTTAGAACAGAATTTCAGCTCACCTTCACTTCAATTCGACTCAGAAGAATCCGCTAGGGTCGAAGAATTGGCCGAGAAGCTACTGATTAGCAGCAGGCCTTTATGGGCACATCTATTACCCAAGAAAGTTCTTGTGCCATCAGACCGACAATATTATGCAGACACACGATCAAAAAGATTTGGAATGAGTCTCGATCTATATTATCGTGAGCATGTCAGTCAGCAGCTTTGGTATCAGCTTGATGCCATCTGTCACGAGATCGCAGAGGCCCTGGCCGAGACTCCAGGACCATTTTTGATGAATTACCACCGTAAGAACAAAATCAGCCTCGGACCATTTGATTCTGTCACCGCTAACATGCAAAGCTTCGTACGCCGATTTTACTGTCGTTGCTCTTCTTCGATTCTTCAGTTGTGTTGATGAGACCATGTCAGATCACTTCTACAGTGCTGAACCGCAGCTTCTCAAGTTGTATGAGGCCTGCCAACAGTGGCTTGAACGTGATGATTGATTCATTGTATCTATATAACTATATTAAAGAGTTCCGGAGTTGAATTTCAGACACAAAAGTCATCTAAGGGGGTTCTGACTTTGACCTCGCGCCAAGTTCGTGATTTTGTAAACAGGCAAGGGGCGGCAAGAATCTATACTGATACAGAAGGCCTCTGTCCTTAAGTGACAAGAAGCTTAGTTAAAGTTGAGAAAGTTTTGATGTATATTTCCAATTAAAGATGAGATATCTCTGGAATCCAGGGGAAGGCAAGAAAACTTGAGATCTTTGTCCTGAGTGATGGAGAGGCTTGGGCAATTTAGTCTAAATCCAGAGGAGTCTTTACTGGGTTTATTTTAGCATTCTCTTCTAAAGTCTTATATTTTCTTGCTCCCTGATGGCACCTCAGTCCAGTGTCGTTGACTGCTATATGACAGTTGCTCTTGTCTGGATGATCTTTGACAGTGACTCACAGGTGCCCCCCTCACACGAGGAGTCAGGTGCGCTCAGAGGTGAGGGGGCGGCAAGTGCGCTCAATATAAAACACAACCTCGCTCTTTTTTTCCATCCCACACAAGCTGGCTTTGCATCCTCAATCATCGCAAATCCAAAATGTCGGCGATCAAGAGAACCGCGCCCCCTGCGATGGAAGCAGCTTCCGCTTCTTCAAAGAGACCCCGTCAAGATACCGACGAGCCTGGTCTTCATGTCATCTTCGTTGCCACCAGCCACCACAACGATATCGGTGAAGAAGGCCATGACTGCAGAATCCCCTGCGACCCATCTCTTGGCTCGTTTGAAGCTGGCGATGTCCTAGGCAGTTTGACCCCTCAGAGACTTCAGGAACTGGAAGTCGATCTGGGTCCTGGACTTGTCAGCAACATCGGCCCCAAAGAGATACAGACGAATGGTCTACTCGACTTAGCTGCTCGTCTCGCAAGATCACAGAAGTTCAAACCAAAGCTGATTCAGCCCGTCTGGAACGACCGTGTCGTCCTTCTTCATCAGCAGGTTCTCACCATGCTTTGCGCTGAAAGAACTCAACGCGTTACGGTTGAGTACTGCACTCTCGACTGGATCACGCGCCTCATCAAGAAAGGAGGCAATTCTCTCGCTGACCAGTTTTGCGACCACAACCGCCCCATTGTCTTCTACATCCCACTTGAACCAAAAGATTGGAGCCTTCATCCTAAAGTTCGCTCTCTCTACGAAGCCATCGATGCACTCCAGCATTTGTTCAACAACGTCAGCGTTTATCCGACACATCACGAGAGCTGGAACTACGGATTCAAAATTCCCGACATCAAGGCACTGGATTGTATCGCAACTAAAGACTCCACACCCGAGCCATACAGTCACAGGCCCAAGACATGCCTGGGCACTGGACCCTGCGGCCTTGACGAAACACAGGGGTCGTCCCAATTCGTCAGGTTCGCGCTGAGTGATCACGCGGACTACATACATCATGTCAAAATCCCGAACTACAACAAGTCCATTCACGACCAGCCCTTCACACAGGAATCAGACACCGTCAAGAGAGTTATTCACCAGCAGTGTTTTCCCTCTGTCTCTGAATGGGGTTACATCCGCGTTTTCATGGTCGGCAATCGGATCATTACCCGCAGCTTCACCTCAAGCGACCAACGAAACGTACACAGCACATCTACTCTTCGCTCCGATTGCCACTTCGACTTTCGCGCCGATGGTCTTCGAGTTCCAGATGCGGACCCAGAAGTGACTGAGCGACAGGAGGCAAAGCTGAAGGAACTCGACAGCTTTTGCAAGTGGTGGCAGCATCAGCTCATTACGCATGATCCTGAACTCTTTGAGTCTCTCAATGTCGGATGTGTCTTGAGAATCGGCCTGACTGAAGCAAGTCTTGATGGAAAGTTCTTCATCATCTCGGTTCACAGATGGTTTGCGTCTCCCTTTTTCAGCATGGACTTGACAGCCAAGCCCTTCGATCAGTTTTGCAAGGCATTTGGGGAGCAGTTTGCACGAGTGTATGGGTCCTTTGCTGCAGCGGATGTGCCGGATATTTGAAGGAACAAGGAGAGTCGATGGTCAGGGAGGGCATTTGTTTGTAACTGTTTGCTTTTGCGTGCGTTATGTTAGCCTCAGGCAGCACTACTTCGGACCTCTATAGGTGCCGTCAATAAACTCAGTAAAAAATCTTCTAAACTCCGTAAAAGATATCCTAAACTCCATAAAAGATATCCTAAATTTATGCAAGTTTACCTAAGTCTTAGGGTTAAGGTCGTGAGTTTTCTTTCTTCCTCTAGGCGCCTCTCCTCTCTCTCTGTGTTTGGTCTTGGCGGGGATCGCCCAATGCCCCGCACCTATGATTTCCCCATCACGTTGCCCTCGGCCTCGTCAATACAGACAGCACTTTGCCATTGTGCACAATGTGATAGGTCTGCTTGGTTCAGAAACGGCATGACATTATTCCCGGTGAGTTTATTAAGGCTGATGCGTCTACTAAGTCCCAGGACCCTGGCATGATTGCCGCTACCCCAGGTTGACCAGCCAGGGACCCCCGGAGTCAATTGGGGAGGTACCCTAGAGCTTACTCTGTGATTGAGATGTCTCGGTCATTGTCGCTGCTGAAAGTGATATTTCTTGTGATACAATATGGTCTGATGTTTTTGAATTGGTGTGATCTGGATATTGTCTTGTCCACCTGAGAATACCGTGATCTTTTGCCGTGAGCTCTAGAATGACCTTTGGAGGTTGATGTAATCAGCTATGCACGTGAAACGGTTCGCGGGAGCAAACCAGTCGAAAAACGGTAATTAATCGTACGAGAACCATATCCGGTAAGAAGAATCGGCAATCTATTCATCCAGAAGGTGGGAAAAGTTGGAGAAACAAAGATCCGCTTGGTGAGGAATCGGCATCTTGGTACGGCACCTGCGGGTAAGAATATTTCCCCCGGTTCGGATCTCTTACCCCAAGATTATGCTAGACAAGACGAGCCAATAGACAGGCAGTATTTGCAATGGTCATTCTGACGTGGAGAGCCGACTTGAATTGCCGCTACCGTTGGCGTCCATGATCCACGGCCCCGCCCCCTCCAAGTCTCCCGGCTACGGAAACGGCAAACGACGATTCATTTTCATACTTAACGGCGCAGCCTCCACGTTTTGTCCCAATCGTCTTTTCCCTCATCATCCCTCATCCCTAGATACCCCAGATCCCTAGATACCCTAGAACCCTAGACAATTCCCTCCAATCATCTTCAAAATGGCCTCCAACGGTACAAACGGCACCAACGGCGCCACGGCGCAATCTAAGTTCGACCCCAACTTCACAGACCATGTCATCGGCCTCATGAGCCCCGAGACCGACCCTCGCCAGCGTGTTATCCTCTCTTCTCTCATTCGTCACATGCACGACTTCTGCAGAGAGGTCGAGCTCACTCAGGACGAGTGGATCATCGGTGTCAACTACATCAACTCTCTTGGCCAGGCCTACAAGAAGAACCGCAACGAGACATGGCGCGTCTGCGACATTCTCGGAATTGAGTCGTAAGTTGCCCAATCAATTGCGCCCGCCAGATCAATCGCTCACAATTCGCAGCCTCGTCGACGAGATCAACCACAAGGTCGTCACCGATGGCGGCAAGGCCCCTACATCCTCCAGCATTCTCGGTCCCTTCTGGTCTCCCGAGACCCCCTTCCGCGACAACGGCGCCAGCGTCGTCCAAGACATGCCCAAGGACGGCCAACTCACATTCTTCCACGGCGTCATCCGCGACGTTGATACCGGAAAGGGAATCCCCAACGCCGTTTTCGACATGTGGCAGGCTAGCACCAACGGCAAATACGACGCCCACGACCCCGAGAACCAATCGCGCCACAACCTTCGCGGCAAGTTCCGCACCGACGCTGACGGAAAGTTCTGGTTCTACTGCCTCAAGCCCACAGAGTACGCCATCGACACATCTGGTCCCTCCGCCGAGCTCCTCAAGATCATGGGCCGTCATCCTTACCGCCCTGCTCACATTCACATCATGGTCACCCACGATGATTACCTCGGTGTCACTGCTCAGCTGTACCCCAACGACGATCCTTATCTCGAGACCGACACTGCTTGTGCTGTCAAGGACGATCTCCTCCTTGATTTCAAGCCTGTCAAGGATGAGCCCAAGGGTGCTGTTCTTGATGTCGAGTACAATGTCAACCTTGCCTCCAAGAAGTACAAGCCTGATAACACCATGTTGATGCAGAACGCCAACCAAGACAAGTTCTAAGAAAGTAAAAATGAAAGAGAAGGAAAAACCAAAAGAGGACGAAGCATGAGGATGTATATACACAGCATTGAATGAGTGGACTTTAGCGTTTGATTCATGTATTCGATGACTACTATGGACTAAATAGTAAGAAATGAAAATTACTGCATTATGAACTATCTGCTCTCCATAAACCTTTCCTCACTTAGGATTGTTGTCATGTACCATCAGTTTGCTCGTCCGTAATTCAAGAAATAGAGACAAAGATCGCGAAAGCTCCATGACCATCAAACAGTCCGATGATTTCACTGGACGAGACGCGGTCATGATTGCCAAACAATTGAAAGTAGCATTCTTGATTCCACTGTGCTGCAAGTTTCGAACTGATAAGGATGTTTTCAGTTTTTAATAGACTTTTATGAACGCAAAATAATATAACTTCTCCGCGTTGAGGCTTCCTTGGAGTTCCTGTGTTGAAACTATAGCATCGCAAACCGCAAGTCAAATCAAACCACCCGAGTCATCATGTTCCTTCTAAAGCCAGTATTGGCTACACTACCAATACCAAAAGAAGGTAAAACTCGTATCATACGTAAAGGTGTAGCAAAGCCAGTGTAGCGCCTAATGACACTGATCCGATCTTTGATCGTCATGCGAACTTGACGAGCATGGACGTCCAGACCGAGCAGATGAATCGGAGTACTGACTACCTGCGAGGCAGCTGGCATAAACAGCTGAGCCATCTTGAGCCTTGCATCATCAGACTGAAAGATGTTGGCAAACGGGGTAATTGACGCGAAGGGGAACTCGGCAAGCTTAGGAGCAATCATGGTAGGCAGGTTGAACGAAGCGTATATAGTCACCGCATCTCGCAGGGTAAACAGTGCATAACTCAGCAGAGGAGTCGACATGCCACAGGACATTCTCGAAAAGTAGGCGTCTTTGAATATACTCAGCCCTGAACTGACGGTCGTGGTGGCGGCGAACTTGGCGGGAGACGAGCAGACGATGGAGGGGTCACAGTCGTATTGGACGGCGTTGAAGGAATCGAACATGTTGGCGGTTGCGTAGGTTCCGAAGTAGACGAGGAATGGTATGAAGAGAGAAGCAAATGTTGCCTTGGGTTTGGATGCCCACTTTCGCATGGATGACTTGATGGAGGTATTGCTTGTTGCTTTGTTGAAGACGAGCCTATCGATGTTCGTTAGTATTCACAGAACCTCGAGGATAGTAAGATGGTATTGGGTGTCTGCTGAGAGGGTACTCACTTATCAATGGCTGTCACCCAGGGAGTGACCAAAGCAGAAGCGAAAGCCGCAGCCGCGAGGTCAACAGCAAAGTACTGAAGCGTACAGCGCTGCTGCTCCCTAATACTCATAACATCCGTCATTTTGATGGTCCAAAATGAATTGAGAATATTGGAAAAGCTAAAGAACAAGATTCGAATATCATTGAGTCCTAGGTTATGACTCTTATTATAGTCTACGGCATTTGATACCGAGACACCGAAACACCGTGAAACCAGCCATGCAGGGCGACGTAGGTAGCAGTATCACCCAACCCGTCATCCTCCGACAAGGCATTCCTCAACAAAATCGCAAAATGCTTGCGATCATCACGAAAACGATCATGTCGCATGTCCAATGAAATCTCGCGTAAGCTCACCTTGTGGGCCGTCGCGGTGAGCGGTGCGGCTGCGCTAATCTCAGCCGCCTTGCGTCGGGTTAACCAGGAATCCATGGTTGACTCACCTAGGTGACAATTACGTGGCAGGAACTCGGCTATGCTCGGGATTTGTTGAGACAACCGTGGCAGTGGACAGAAAGCTGGTGTCTAGACCAACATTCTGCTCTTATTCGGCTTCTGGATGACTCCGCGTTTTCCCCACGTCGGCATAAGAATTGAGTTGGGTTGGGTTGAGCTGACTTGACGTGTTGGAGCGCTAGAGCTAACCCCGGATTCATCTTCAGGGGCGGGGCACGGACCTTGGTGTCAGCCCTGTTCGTCGACGTTCATCAGCTACGCCCTCTTTGCGTAGTGGCAATGATGACAGAAAACTTGATAAACAAGAAAAGAATGAATCCATAGATCACTGTAGAGCAATGTGGAAAAGACCAATGCCGCCTGCGATGGAGTCTAAAGTCCTTTCGAGGCTATTGTACCTGGCAGGCATGGGGAGTTGCACGCCAACTTGTCCCAGTTCTTGTTACTCATGAAGCATTTACATGGCCTGTTACTCTTCCAATCACTCTCCATCTGCGATGCTTGCTATTTCGATAATGTTATCCCCCTTTTGACTTGAGTTACTCGGCTTAAGACGGTTTATACAACAAGTACATTGGAGACTTGTACTCCACTTCAAAGGTCAAGTGCAGAACTTATTCATAAGTGGCATAGCCGATGATTCCCGGCATGGGACATGAGCTCTGCTGCTGGCCAGTCCAGTCTAGTTGGATCAAAAGTTGTCTCAGCATGGGCCATACCATGCCGGCTCCGGATCTTGATTGATGCTGTCAGTTCATGGTTAATTTAGCTGAGCTATCGCTATCTATTACTTCTTCCATATGTTGAATTGACCCCTGTCGTCTGCTTCCGCAAGCTTAAAAACAACGCAGTCCGTCATAGTTAGAAAGCGTATCCGTAATCGGGATCAAAGACCTGCGTAACTTTAACCTTGACCAAGCGTTAATCTTGCTCAATAGCTTTCTTATATTTGCCCAGTACTCTACGACGAAGAGAGTGTAGAATGTAGATAATATCTGGCTCGGGAGTCATATTCACCGGATACGAAGCTTCCTTCACTGAGCTTCATCAGTACACTCGGGACCCCATAGTTCTCTTTCCATCACCCCAGAGCAGTATGTCTCTCCAAGACACAGGTATGTGCCGCTTGAAGCTGTATGAAGCACTACAGGAATATCCATGCCTTGGACGATACAACAAATGTTGGTCTCAGCGATCAAGAGAACCAATGGCATTCTGGATGGAGCTGTCATCACGAGGCGCCTGTCCCTAGATCGCGGGACTGAACGCTGAGCATCTGACAGAACCCCTGAGGCAGAAGTTCGTGGAGGGGATGGAGAGATCGTCACTGTTCCCGCCTCGCTTCGAAGTCTCTGGCAGTAAAACAACACAACAGATCATCAACATGATTGTCAGAACGTGAAGGCCTCTGACGAGGACATTCCTGCCATTCATAATACCGTGAAAACCTTCTAAGGTTAGTTTCAATCATGCAAGGTCTTCATTACTGTGCAACTGATCTAGGCTGAATATAGCGCAGAGAGTTCTCATGATCCTTGCACGGATATCCACCGCGACGTTTTCACTCCCCATTGATCTCTCGCAACGTTTGAGGCATCTCTCAGATAAAATTTATAACGGAAATATCTTCCAGATGCTCACTGGCCTTGTCCCGTCAAAATATTTGGCCAGACAGAACGTTCTTCTGCATGCGGTATCAGTGCTCATATCTACCCTCTCCCGAAGTTTCGATACTCTCGCTATCCTATCCTCTGCTGGCAGCGTAAGCGAAACTTAGAGCTACCAGCACTAAGCTAAGAGAGCCCTGTACGCTGTGCAATTCATCTCACAAAAACACCATGCCATGGGCGATTTCTTGAGGTGATATAATCTTCATCAACGACATGGCAGTGTTCTATGCTCGCGGGGAGTTCAAAGGCGACGACGCAGGCATGAAGAGGCACCTCTTCAAGATGTATCTTCGTGATACCGGGCAGGGTTTAAGGAGACTTTTGGAGCGAGATACACTCGTAAGCCTAGCGACCTGAGTCCAGAGATCTGGGATATTGACCACGAACATGGTATGGAAGAACTTTCACTCGTCAACGGTTAGAAGCAAAGCGTTTCATCAGAGTCTGTAGTAGCAAGTTCTCGTTTCCACTTGTCTCAGTACCACCAACATCCGGCCCAATGGCTCAGCCCAGCCAAGTGAAGATCGTTTAACGGTAATCCGGTATCACTATTAGCAGTGCTTGTCGTGCATAAGAGCTGTCTCTAAAAAGTTTAACGCCTCTGGCTTGCGTCTAGAACCTAGCTTCCAGCGTCATTGCGCAGTAGCCTTATCGGCTGCCCCTCACAGAGATACATGAAACAGAGAGAACCTAGATCCTGGAATGATCTGAATATTGCTTTTCTGCTTGTGTCTGTCTATCGACAATATCTTAGTTGGAGCTCGTAAAGGGCTGCGTCATCTAACAACCCTTGATGCTACAAGTGCTTCGATTCTTTTGATCTCGAAGGTCTATCATGACGAACTTTCAGCTGCTTCAGCCACTCCAGACCTCGCTTAGAGTTAAAATCATTTCAAGAATCCCATTCGAGGGAAAGCAACGTGGCTATCAAGCTTCACAGCCCTAATCTCCCAACAATAGGGCCCTAAGCCAAGCCTCCATAGCGATTCGAGACGTTACAATTTTAAGCTCGAATGGTCTCACCTAAAAGAGACTGTGATTCGATGTGGTTGCATACCACGTAACAACCGACCAGTGACGTCTGTCTCTAAAGAAAGCGCCACATATGACTGGCTTCGTTGGTGTCCTGTCGCTGAGCTCCTGATTGGGTGCTAGCGAGTAGCCATGGCGTTGGACGCACGAACGCAGATTCAGCGTGGCTTATTCGTTGCTAGTTTTGACGCGTTTGCGAGGCATTGCTATGGTGCTAAAATTCCAGTTCTGCAGATGTGGCTTATCGGCTAGAGCTTGATTCGAAGCCATCACGGCGTTTGCCGTGGTAGTGTTTGAGGAACTTGGATTTATATAAGGTCTGGATACAGATGCTGTTTAAGACAATTCACACAATTCAATCTCAGTTTCTCAGCTACCAACATCTTTTCGAATAATCTATCATCATGGACGCACCCAAGTCTTACTATCTCTACAATCCTTCCGAGCCCTTGGCAGGAGTTGTCGCAGGTCTTTATGGAGTTAGCTTTTGCATCACGGTCTGGCAAATCATTCGGAAGAAAGCCTGGGTATGGCTCTTTATGCTGCTTGCTATTGCGAGTAAGTCAATCATGCGACAAGTGCGAGACCTGTCAGTTAACCATGGATCCAGTGGAGGTGATCGGGTACGCAGCTCGAGTTGTGTCTGCTACCAAGCCGACAGAGAAGGGACCTTACGTGCTTCAATTCACACTTGTGATCTTACCCCCAGTGTTGATGGCCGGTGTCATCTATGTTATCTTCGCCAGAATCGTCTTCTGGGTTGTCCCTCCGGAGTCGAGAACCCTTCGATTTCTCTGGGTCCCTGGTAAGTTTTCGCCGCCGAGAAAGTGAGAGATATACTGATACTTGGCAATACAGCTCGCTTTATCACTCTTCTCTTTGTTGGTTTCGATATCATCTCGCTCCTCCTACAACTTGTCGCTGCAGTTCTCATCGCTGGCACCGACCCTACCGATCCTGACGCAAAGAGCAAGCTCAATCTTGGCAAAACACTTGGTCTTGTCGGTGTGAGCACTCAAATTGCTGGCTTCGGTCTTTTCACTGTTTCTGCCATCCGATTTCACTTCGCTGCGAGACGACTGAGCCCCGACTTTGCCAAGGACAATCAGGAGAGGCATGGTATTGTGAAGAAGTGGCAAACCCTGCTCATTGTGGTCAATGTCTCATGCCTTCTCATTCTTGTAAGTTAACATGTCTGCCTATCTCTGGATCAGTCACTTATAAAGAATAGGTCCGTTCGATCTACCGTGAGATCGACTTCGCTGGTGGCAAGGATGGTACTACCCACCAGAAGGAGTGGTAGTAAGTAGAACTTGTCCTACATTCTCGAACAAAACTAACATGTATACCGCAGTTTATATGTTTTTGACACTCTTCCTATCTTGCTCGTCGTCTTCCTCTACAATGTCTTCTTTCCAGGCAGCTATCTCAAGCATCTTGGTTTTAAAGTGCCTAAAGAAAATCAGGGTGCTGTGCTCGACACCGAAACTGCCAACAAGCAGGTCTCCGCGACTGCGGAGTCTGTATGACATCCATCATCCGTCCCACGGGCAGCTCAGGCACCCAGCCGCTTCTGGTTGCTATGTAGGGTTTTGTGCCTACTTCTCATGAGATGTCTTCTTAGAGTTTGTTATTTTTCACTATATGCTTTGAGCTTTAGTAAAGGAATTTATGTTTGAGCATGCAAATAGAATCACAGTTATACAAATTTCGATCATTAGTGGTCCTCAATTCACCCTACGCGCTCAACAGTCTCCATCTTGATGCCCCATGTGGGACGGTGAAGTAGTAATGTGGGGTAATAGATTAAAGTCCAGGTACTTTTCAATGCAATGTCCAACTGAGCTCCGTGACATCGGACATGCTCCAATCAAGAGCGTCTGTAATCTGCGCTGTACTTCCGCTCAATAACGTTGCGTAGGAAGCGGTTTACCCCACAACTGCCATGGCGATATCCCGGGACGTCGTCTCCGCACACTTTGCCGAGTTGGGAATGTTGAAACGACGCGGCCCCGACGTGGCCGCCGGCCAAAGCGAGATTTGCCGGATGTAGAAGAACGTGATTAACAATTTCTTGTGATTCTTCGATATCGGAGACGCGGGGTGATTTACCAAGTCTGGATAATGCTGCCTGAGACACTCACTTTATGCTCTCCCTTAAGATCTGGGGCCTCCGCATCAAAGAAAGCTAATCGTAGCCTTACTCATTTGCTCTTTGAACATCACCAAAATGACGTCGGACACTTACAAAGTTGCTGTTCTTACCGTAGGTCGCTCCAGGTTTTATGTCTGGCCTCAAGTACTAATTCCAATAGTCATCACAGGAGCACCATGCCAAACCCACGTTTGAGATCAAACAGCTCCCAAGGCCTGTCCCTGGTCCTAATGAAGTCCTCATTCGCCTTTCACTCACCAGTCTATGCGGCTCTGATCTAGGTATGGCTTTGGGCCATATGGGACCCGTGGGAAAGATTCTTGGCCATGAGGGCGTTGGCAAAGTAGCAGAGCTTGGTTCCAATATTGCCCACATGGATCCCAGCGTTGAGGTTGGCCAGAGAGTCGGAATAGCATGGATCAGAGATATTTGCGGATCCTGCAACATGTGCATTGACATCGCCAACGAGGGCGAGACGCGATGTGTCGAAGCATTGCATTCTGCAAAAGCATATGATGGTACCTTTGCAGAGTATACGCTTGTGCCATTGCGATACCTGGCTCGTATTCCACCAGCCTTCGATGACATCCCCGATGAGGAGATCGCGCCCATTCTTTGTGGAGGAGTTACAGCTTACAAGGCTATCAAGAATTGCAACCTCACACCAGGACAATGGGTTGTTATTTCCGGCGCAGGTGGCGGTGTAGGAGCTCTGGGCGTTGCATATGGTCACGCCATGGGCTATCGAGTCATTGCTGTTGACGCAGGTCCTGGAAAAGAGGAATACTGCAAATCTCAGGGAGCCGAGCATTATGTAGACGCTTTGTCTGGAGTAGATGCAGGAAAGCAAGTCAAGGATCTAACCGATGGCCAAGGAGCCAAGGCTGTCGTCGTCACCGCTACTGCTGCTGCTGCGTATCAGAAAGCTTTTGACATGCTGGGACCATTCGGCACATTGATGTGCGTGTCGATTCTTCCAGAAGATGTCAAAATTAACTTCCACCCGCTCTGGTTCATTGACAATGGCTGGACTGTGAAAGGATCGGCAGTGGGGACGAGGGCTGATATCCTTGAGGCTTTGCAATTTGTCAAGCGAAGACTCGTTATCCCCAAGATCAAGTGGGCCAATCTCGAGGATATTGAGGGTCTGATGGAGCAGATGTCCAAAGGACAGGTAAGTCCAGAGTCATGAAATAAATCATCAGTAGCTAACATGAGTGCAGTTGGAGGGAAAGTATGTCATGAAGTTGTAGAGTCAGAAGGCGGAATGTGGAGTCAGGGAGAGTTGAGAATTTGTGTTTGTGGTTCGTAGAGACTATGCAGGTCGCTTTATGCAACTCAGTACATGGTGAACCAAATGATTCTATTCGTGTAGGATTGATGAATATGTCGGTAAGGTAGAAGTGTTGTTTATTCACTACAAATTATTATGATCTTGAATCATTGAATCATTGATGGTGGGTTACTTCATCTGAAATGGCTTGGGGATCAAAAGCGGTTAACTTAAACAATCCCATAGACTAAGTACAGCTAGCTAGAAATAACATGCCGCATGGAGATCAAGTCCACTTCCATCAAAGTTGGTCATATTTCTTCTACTGATCCTCGCCATCCAGACTGATCTGAGGGCCAGTGAACGTCTTTCGGAGACCACCGAACCAGAGGGCAGTGGTGACTACCAGGCCAACTGCCATAACCACGATAAGGTAGTTCATTGAAGATGCCGTAACAGGCATGAAGGCAGGAAAGCAAAAGCTGACAGAGAACAATGCAACGAATAGTGTAGCCGCAGTGTTTACGGCATATCCCGCTTTACCAAGTGAGAAGGACCTCTCAGGAAGGCAGCTACGCCCACGAACAAGTAGCGCGGCCTGGGGGAGAGTGACGGTAATGTTGAGTGCAAAGAGTGTAAGACCAATGAAGCTGTTGTAAGCAGTGCTTGAAGCAACATACAAAACCCCAATAATGATCTGCAGGGCAAGCATGACAGCAGTAGCTCGGACAGGACTGGCCCAGTTGAGATGCGACAGAAATGCTGAGAAAGGGACGCCTCCGTCTCTGGAGAAGGACCATATGGTTCGACCAGAGAAGATGAATAAGTTCAGAACGATGTCGTAGAACATGACGATGTAGTAGACGGACCAGATGGTGGTAGCAACTCTGTTGTTGAGAGCTTGGTTGTAGACCTCGAGAATAGGCACTGTCGACTCAATGATGGCATCGACATCTTTGATGGAGAACATAAGGGCGATAGTCCAGGCGATGACGGTGGAGATACCGAGACCGATGGTCAAGAAGATAGCCCGAGGGACATTTTTACTTGGGTTCGGCACTTCTTCTGCCAAGTGGGTAGGACCATCAACACCACTGTAGGCCCATAAGCAGGCAGTGATAGAGGTGATCATGGCCCAGCCATCTCCCCATCCACTGACGTTCTTGTACTCCTTGAAAACAGTAGAAGCCGACTGCTTATGATCACTAACAGCAAGAAGAGTGACCATGGAAGCGATGAAGCCAACCAATGACAACCAGAAGATGGTAGTAGTCAATCGGCCGATGGCAGCAGGGAACCTCGAGGTGGCGGCAAAGGCGATGATGCATAGCAAGATATGCATCAAGTACGTATGCCAAGCCTCGATGCTATATGACGGGTGCCACAGTTGGACAAGGTCTAGGACAGAGCTCGCAGCAAAGAAGTTGCAAGACGCTGTCGCGGCCATCAGGTAGATAATGGAGATCCAACCAGTATAAAAGGCAGCAACGCGTCGGGTAGACGCGGGAAAGGCCATGAAGACAATATGATACTGTCCACCAGCCGATGGGAACGCCGAGGCCAATTCAGCGAAGCCAATGTTGATGGTAGCCATGATGATGCCGCCAGCGATCAAGCCATAGATGATCGAGGGTCCTCCACCACAAGCAAGCGGGATTGCAATGCCTGAAGCAAAGGCCATCCAAGAATTGGTGGTGGTAAAGGCAAAAGCGAGGACAGAAAGGGGACTGTATCGCTTCTCAAGCTGTTCGCCGCCGTGGAGGTGATGGGTGGCGAATGTCTTGCCGGCAGCTTGGGAGGGTGTCAAGGACGCATTATCGGGAATATCGTGTTTCTCGGTCATCTTATCGGTATTCAGGCTCGAAGATCAAGGCGGGACGCGAGGATGAAGGTCCGGTGCTCCTGTTTGAGGAGGATGTTTGTGTATTGCTGGGGGCTTTCTGTGGTCATTCGCTACTGTCAGTGAAGCCGTCGATACTTGCGGCCAGGAAAGGAATGAGAGTCTGGAGAAACAAAGGCTTGGATCCAAGAGTGTTGCCAAAGTGAGAAGAGGCGATGTCGCATGGGTGCAGTCGCATTCTTAAGAACAAACGCGCTCCCATGGCCTAGTCACGATCTGTACCACCAAGATAGGGCGCGGCACAACCTCCGTTGTCGCGTGGCACCTCCAATCTTTAGTCAAACTATATGACAATCAATAATCGTAATTTCTCAGTGATATCTCCCCCCTTCCCACTCGTCTTATCTCGAACTTCCGGGGTTTCTGGGGAACCTGGGGCGCGCGCGAAGATTAGGCGAACCTTGTGTGAGCCGAGGACGTGGTTCACTCTCATTTTAGAACCGCCCTTGTTATCGAGTCTCAGACTCTTACTCGATGACTCGGTAGATGTCGCCTGGTCTTTCCAAGTATGGTTTAGTTCTACGGAGGCGAATAGAGAGGTTACGGCCGGTTAGTAGCCGGCTGGTGGGGACTACGTGCCGAAGTCCCGTGAAATTGATGATAATGAATTTTTATGGATATTAGTATTTTAGGAGAGATCACGCTTGGATTTGGCCGCCGGCGAAGAATTCAACACGGAAGAGATATGCTGATAATATTCATTGCTACAGATCTCCTGATATCCCGACATTCCGACCATTTGAGGCACTCGTGAGGCCCTGTTTGTGAGTCATGTTGAAGACAGCCAAAGACAGGACCTGGTTATCCAAAGAAATCTACCCCCAACGGCACCATATCCCCCCTCCCCCCCAAAGTAACGAATATCATGAACAGCTCAGCCAATATCTCCAGCGTTCACGATATGGCCACATGGGCCATTACTCAAGGTGGCTCCATTCTCGGGGAGTAATCTCTTTAATGTCGTAAAGCTCGTGTCAAACGTATGACCTGGAAGACAGGCAGTACCAATGACAAGGTAGCAATGGGGATGATACGCAACGGAAAAGATGCAATTTGACCTCTTCTGGCACTCAACACAACATTCATAAGGAGTGATTAGTGGGTGAACGTAGTAGACGTTCTTTCCAATATTCACTGCGTTAATCCCATGGCCGCCATTCGCAGCATTGATGAGATTTTCAGCGTTGCAAGCAGCCCAAGAACTTTCGGCTGGAGCAATATCTGTTCGAGTCACTAGATGGTGATTGTGGTAAGTAAGTGGCTTATGTCACAAGAACACGAATCCGAGACGTACCAGTTTCAGTTTCCGTGAAGGTTTTCGTTGTAGTTGCTTTAGTAAGTGTAGAAGTTGTCGTGGCAGTGTCGTCCGCAGTCATTGTAGTATCAGCTTCGGTGACTGTAGTCGTGAGCCAACCTCTAGTGATGTCCTGCTTCAAAATTGTTTTTTGATCAAGTGTGATCGTTTTTGTCCACGGTATACAACTTGAGAAACGCTCGGTTTTTGTAATCAGGACGGATTGATAACACGCGACCACGTGACGGGATTGAGTTGGCTTGACGGGAAAGTTTTTATCACCGGGTTCGATTTGGATGGTGCAGGGGTCCTTTACGGCCTTGGGCTTGTCCTTGGGTTTGGCTTTGCGAGGAAAGACTCGCAAGGGGGAAACACGCGCAATGTCTCCCAAGGCATGTTTCTTGAGCAAGCTTCGGTTGGACTGGCTTCGCTTTCGGGAAACAAAGCCTGATACCGAGGCGATAGGGATGAAACCAGAAACCGTTGGAACTGTAACTGTGGACGTAAGGGTAGAAGTTGTGGTATAAACTGTCGAGTCGGTTTTGAGGAAAGTGGGAGTCGTCACGGCTGTTTCGGTGACTGCGGACGGTTAGACGATCAGATCTGTAGATAACGACCACATCTTACTAACTCGTCTTTGTGACTGTGAGCGTCTTGAGCTTTTGGGGAGCGGTAACCGAAACGGTACGGATGGACCTGGTAAGAACCGTACTAGTGACTGGATCTTGTTTGACCGTTTGAGTTGGATGTCTACGCGTCCTGTCGCAAAATGGCTTGCTCGCGGTCAACTTAACCTTCGTGGTATGGGTATATTTAGTTGTATCAGACACCACGGTTCTGCTCATTCTCGTTTCGCAGAATTCTTTAGTTTGCTTTGAGTCCTTTTGAGCAAGGGCAGCGCCCAGTAGAGCATAGAGGATCAGAATCAGACGCATCGTGGTTAATACAGTCCCCAGTCGTGACAAATCCGAGCTTCGAATTCGATAACTCTAATTTGGAGCAAAATTATCTTGGCCGATGAATTGGACTCATCTTATATGAGGTACTGGAAAAGAGGCAAAGGCCTAAATGTCATAATCTAGGTTTTATTGTCAGTATTGGTAGTTTGTGGATGACCAAACTCCGCCGCATAACTTGTAAACTGTGGACTCCCCTACTTATAGTTGAGACCTGGGAGTCAAAGTTCGAAGTCAATTGCATCATCATGTGAAGTTCGGGGCGGTGAAATGTCCTATCATACTTTTCAAACCCAATCAGATGACCACATCTTGTAACGTCTTGGCGGATGTTTAAAGCGTGACCTGTAATTCAATGGAAAAGAATACTCATGATTTGAATTAAATTCCAACGATGATTAAGACAAAGATACGTATTGTTATGACTTCTGTTTTATGCGGATTGCCGTATATTCACCCGCTGAGCCCATATGTCATGACCTTATTGCTACTTTCACACGTTCGCGTTCCGCCAACCTTGTGCACGCTTCACTTATCAGGATCCCACCAAATCAAACTAAATAGCTCTACACTTCAGCTACCATTTCTTTGCGATCTCAGCGATATCCAAACGGGCTTGTGCTATCATGATGGAAAGGTTGGACTTCATTGAAGGCCGAATGCCGCATGTTAGAAGAAGGCGAGTATGCCTTTGGCTCGGGCGAAAGGCCTGACGCCAGAGGCTGATAGTTCGCCTCACCTAGGGCGTGGGTGGCAGACTGTTGCGGGTGATAAGGGGCAACTGGAGGCTGATCGATTGTTGCGACCACATGGGATCCATTACCTGCTTGACGCTTTTTGTGGCGTATGAACCAAAGACCGAAGCCAATCAAGGCGAGTATGGCAAGCCCCCCAAGAACACCGCCGACAATAGCTCCTGTGGGGGCAGAAGAGTTTGAAGACAGTTCAGCAGGTGAGGTAGTCTCTTGGGCGTTGCTCTCTCCTGTCGTTCCTGTCTTTGTAGTCAACTCGCTGTCTGAACTTGTAGGCTCGGAAGTAGTCTCCATTGACGTTTCCATACTAGCCGAGACGCCCTTCAGAGCTTTGTACATGGTCACCTCCATATCCTTTGTTACACACAACGGATAGAGGGTGAACTCTTCACAGTCACTACCAGTCGAAAGCGCAGTGACACATCCCGAAGGGCTGGTTAAGCGTCAACGGATGATTGCACGATAAACATATTGACAATAACGCACCAGCATAGGTCATGTGAGGATACCGAAGTGCAAGTCAATGCAGTAAAGCATCTTGTCTTGATGTATCCATCACATCCAATATGACTACGGCTGGTCGCACAGGTCATCGGCACGTCAGAGTAATAGCAAAAGTTCGCTATCCAGACTTTGATCTCATAATTAGTCATACTTATTGTATCGAGTATTGTGAGTACTTACACTGTCCAGGCAGAGAATAGTAGCCACAAATATCATAAGTGCCTACATTCTGACGCTTGAGGATTTCTCTATTGTAAGCTTCTGGTGGCTCTGCGATTGCGGGGTCGGGAGGGGAGCCGGTCAAGCCACGGCCATTCAGCGCTTAATAGACGGCAGCCATCTAACCGTTGATGACTCAAGATGTTGTTAGACTCTTACTGTCGCTGGCTTTAAATCACAGCGCACACGTGTGTAGAAGCCTCAAGAGGGGAGTTGAGAGGCTGAGGGGAGAGCTGGAACTGAGTCAGGGCGCGAGAGGATCAGGAGAAAGGCAAAGGCTGTGATAGAGGGAACCTGAGACGGCCCTCAGTTTCAGGCACTCTTTTGGGCTTCATTCATAAATGAATATTGGTGGCGTTGTGAAAAATTACAAACATGTGTGAGATTCACAAACAGGAGAACACATCCAGTGCCCTGGAGAGCCAATAAGAATATCAGTTGGGGGGATACCGCAGCATGCGGTTGAAGCAGAGGGGATCCTATTGGTGATATACTAGAGCCTGATATGTAAGCTGTGAAATGTGTATCTTGTCTTGTCATCGAGGCCCGCTGGAACCAGTTAAACCGAGGAGGCTCTGGCAATGAGATATCTCTTTTCTCTGTTAACATGATGGTTCTGACCAATCGTTGGAGTTTTCTCGCAGCCCGATTTTATGAAGGGAGAACTAATGTAGTTGGGAGGATGCCAAGCATATGTCTTCCAGTGAGACAGAACCAACCTGCATGTGGCGTACACACGACGTGTTGCTTGCTCATCAGGATCCTCGGCCGCTTTCTCACGAGCTTTAGCATAAGACATCCTCGACGTCTTCAACGATTGCCACATCTTATCTCCAGACTCTCCAAATCCTAGTGGTCTCAGCGGTGGTGAATGTGGCGTTGACGAGGGTAGTTGACTGGGACAATGCCTTAATCAGGGTAGCTGCAGATTACCAGGTGCATGGGAACGTCTTAGCTGACTACACTAACTGTAGACAGCTGCGCGTTGCTCTACACCCTCTGATCAACAAGGTAGGAGAATCGGCTTCACTACTCATAGGCTGTCACCAATGACTATTCTGACAATGGTCATCTCAAACCCCTTTTATTAAATCACCCAAGACAGCAGCACCTTGAACCCAGCTGTAGACTGGCCCATCCTCTTCAAATCTCAGCAGTCTTTCCATAATCCCCTGACCGTTATGAACTCTGTATAAGCCGCCAAGAAAGAAGCAATCGCCTCCGGAAACAGCCCCCCGTCTCGTATCCAATGAACCGTCAGTGGGCCATAAAGAAAAAGGTGAACAAAATTCCTCCGCCATTCTGTCCTTGTCTCTTCATCTTGCTCTTCTCCGGTACGTTTGCTTTCATATCGGTCATAGAGCAGTTGTGCCATCCCAGACATGACATAAACACCCCAAGCCTTGAGAGACCAGACCATGAGCTTCGACTCAGTCTTCTCTGACCATTTAAACACTCCGCGTCTTGTAAGCCACGCTAAGTTCTCCGTTCCGTAGTAACCGAATAGTCCAAGAAGATAGGTAGCTCGGATGGCTGTCAGAACGAGATACTTCCGTGGGTTGCTCTTCTTTGCCTCGATCTCGTTTTCGGATGAGAGATTGGTTAGAAATTCCTTTGCTTCTGCCCATGTCGCCAGTAAACCCCATAATCTGGTGATGATCTGCCAGTCGTCCAGGATATCCGATAACGCCCTGAATCGTTCGGCGATAAGAGGCTTGTTGGCGGACAACGAGCTTATCGTTGGAAACCCTTTGAAAGTTGATAAGAGTGACTTGAGTCTTGGCGGTAGAATCCTCATTAAAATTTTGTTGAATCTAAGAAGCCAACTCTTAAGCCTGCCAGGGAGTGGCGATTCAAGTACCGTCGCCACGAAATGTGCTGCGTAGGCCAGGAAGAGGATAAGGGCATCATGGCTCTCCCGGGTATGCATCAATCGATTTAGGCGCGAGATGAAAGCATCAAGCTTTTTGATTGGTAACAGTGCTTTGCTGCCGGTGAAGGTTCGGTTTTCTGTCGAGGAATTCTGCGTAGAGATATGGTTCTCTTCTTTTGGTTCATCCACGCCTTCCATCACTGGCTCAGGTAGGACTCTTCTTGATTTCGTCAGTTGGAGATTTTACAGAATAATTGCTGGAGCTTACTTCATGTCAGCCATGTTGCAGGTGAGAGAGAAGAGATGAGTTCAAAAAGATTTCCGGCCATGAGAATTGGATTAATGATACTCTTTCGTCCTTTCTTTCGCGTTGAAGTAAATGGTGGTGAGATCAAAGAGTTTTGACCAAAATCCAAGGGCCCCGGAGGTTGAGGGTATCAATAGGAAATGATTCTGCGGGGATCAATTGGCACTTATCTTGTTATGGGCAATACTTGGTGCGCGTAGTGCAGATACCGGTTCGACTTGCTCAATAATGATTGGTGTCATGTGCGAGCTTTGCGACGGAGATGATATTGTCATTAACAGTTTACAACGCTAACCAGGTTTGCTATGAGCCCTGTTCTCCGTTTTCTGCAAGATTGGTAGTTCTTAAAGATAGAATATAGTCTATTGTTACCTTTTACGGCCGTTTGGTAGATGGAAAAGGTCTTGCTACCGCAACTTGCTACCAAAAGCCTGGCCCTGGGACTGTTAGGCCATATAAGATCCCTTGATGCGTTGCGTCTCCCAACCCCACTCTCACTTCTGCACGCGTGCTATTCCCTAAAATGGGCAAAGCTGTGCATCGCTGCAGACCGACTTCTAACTAGCATGGAACCTTCCTCAGCGCCTCGATGAGAATGAGAGGAGCTCTCGTTTGTGTAATTTATCCATGCTACTTAATGTAGACCCTTCTTCAAGAACCTGCGTTGATTTCAGAAAATTCATGGATATCCGTGCAGGCGCCATTATCTTGGATAGAAGACAGCTGATATCGACAAGAAATGGACTTTCGGCGGTAGTGGCGCTTGGGATAATTCAGGCCGGAAAGTTATTTTTATCCCAGGAACAGCTTCACTGAAAACATGGCTTTGAAAGAGCTCGTCTCCTTCGCGCGGTGAGAATCGAACTTCATGGAACAGACGTGTATAAGTCGACAGCGATCCGGGATTCCAGCACGCATTAGACATCAGGCGGGAGAAGGAGCATTGTGTTTATGCTATATTACACATCGCTTGTAAAGATCTGGAACAAACATGACCGATGTATGTCCCGGAAGGGAAAAAATACACGCATCACGTACGATACACCGCCCATTCCTACCAAGTCAATTTGACCATTGTTATTGGATGAGCTCAGTCTTTGAGGCTTCACGGGCATAGTGCAACTTGAGTCCTTCGTAGCAACCCAAGAACAACCCGTTCCCCACGGCAGCGGCTATGCAAGTCACAGTTGCCCCTCTAAACAACCCTGAAATCCCATCTCTTATCAAGATGCCCTTGGCAATGGAAATGGGCCCTCTCGCCGCGGGCTTCCTAGCTTTCTCGCGGCTCAGTGAAGACGTGAACAATGCTTCTGGCTGCAAAAGATGGCTGGGAGGAGCGACTTCCGGCAAGCGCATCCTGGTTTTCACGACGTCGATTGGAACGAAAAGAAGCGAGGCTATTGAGCCACCGATGCCGGCAGTGATTCCGCTCACTTTGACTTGTTCCACGATGCTCTCAGATCTTTTCGAACGCCGTAGCCAGGCGCCTTTGAGATACTCGTAAATGGAGAACGTGAGACTGGTCCGTGGCAGATTTCCAGCTACCAATACCGTATATCCCGTCCACAGCTTCAGAGGATGTCTTGCGAAGTGCTTGAGCGAGGCCAACATGGGATTGCGCTGCACACCACCTTCTGAGAATCTGGCGACTTGCGCATTTTGCTTAAGGACCTCCGACGGGTTGATGATGGCGCACGCGACCATATCAGCCAGCGCGCTACTGGCGGCATGAACAGCGGTTTGAGACAGACTCCCGGGCTTGAGACCTTCCTTCGGCTGAAGAGTAGTCTTCGCAGTTTCGTAGATGGTGAAGAAAGTGACAGAGGCCGGGATGGTCGTGACGACGGTTGGTGTCAAGCCGCGATAAAGGCCCCGGAACAGCGTCGGTTGGAGTTTGCCTTGGTGGCTTCTGTATTTGGGTACATATTCGGGAGATTGGATGCGTGTGATGAGAGTATCAAATGGGTGGACTACAAATTCAACACTCAGTGCCGCAAAAGCGGCGGCCTGTTGCGATTAGCATTGCGGATGGCGCTCGAGATTTCGTGATGCTCACCAAGGATATGTCCGTAGCATCCGCGTTGCTTGAGGCGGACATCAATCAGAGTCCCAGAACTGAATGACCAAGAAGAAGGCTCAAGTGGATTGAGTCCGACGGTGAGGAGATGGTTGTTTGGGAGCGATGAACAGATTTTCAGGCCCCGACCAATATTTCCCAGATCTGGCGTTTGGCGCTGAATCAACGACGTCAACACCTAAGGTTAGAGGAACGCGCGGAGCGCGCTGGGCTATCGCTCCGACAGCAGACATGACCAAAAAATGAGCAACACCAGCATTCTTTCTTGGTCCAAGACACATGGAGTGTCTTCTACAAGGTAGTGCCTCAAAATTCGTAGCTCATTACTGATTTTTCAAGAACCCGGAAGATGGCGGCATCAAATGAGTATCTCCATGCTCTCAGGCTCATAATTACCAGGTTCCAGGCGCTGCTCAGCACCTCAGTGGCAGCAATCGGGTTAGCTAATCACGACGCGCCCCGCAATAAGCAGCGAGCAGAACGCTCGACTTCAATTCATCTCACGCTCATCATGACTCGATCTCAGTGAAATGAGAGCGCGCCGCTCTCCGAAGATCCCATTTTCTCTTTGAACTCATATCGACGCCTTTGAAGCTTTTTATGCTTCCCTTTTACTGCTGATGACTGAACCAGTCCCTCGAGCGACTGAAGCTCAACAAACACGAGCATTTGTGAGACGGAAGCGACAACAAGTCGGCAGAGCCTGTGATGCATGTCGACTCCAACGGATAAAATGCGATACCAGCGTGCCATGCCTCAACTGCCGCACGCGTGATCGCGAGTGCAGCAACAACAACTCGCCTACTGTGTCAACTCTTCCTCAAGCGCAAGATGAGATCGACAAATTGAAGCGGCGGGTGAAAGAGCTTGAGGCCCAACTTTTGCAGGCGCGGAATGGCGGCACGCCCGCTTCACAGCAACAAGAGCCAACGCCGCCCGGCGGATCACCAGCCCTCACAAGACCAGCGACCCAGGAGAGCACGAAGACAAAATTTTGGGATGGAGTGTACCTTCGACCAGCACGCTCGCCTCACAGCGCTTGGTTCGGGCCTTCATCACTTTATTTCTTCATTCATCGACTCAGCACATTTCTTAGCGCTCAAGCCGACCACATGCTCATTCACCTTGCCAGCAATCTCGAACAGTTAGGTCCGCCGACCGTGAGACAAGACTCTTCGCGACTGTTGGCACCTCTCACGCGAGTCAGCGAGGAAGGCTTTTATCTCACACCAGTTCAGGAAGGGTTCTTCATCAACCTGTATTGGGAGACCTACCATACATGCATCTATGCCGTGGTCGATGAGGCGAGTTTCAAGGCGCATTACCAATCGCTTTACGTCGATGTACCAGCTGGATCGCCGAGAAAACCGTCCGCATTGGTCGACATCATACTCGCCATGTGCATGCAGTATCACACGTCGGCGCTCCCGTGCGGCCAGCAAGGCAACATCCTCGAAGACAACGATGCAACGATGGCCGGCCGATGGTACTACCGAAGAGCGCAGACACTCTTGGCTTGCGAAGTCGAGAGCCCATCCATCTCCACCCTTCAATGTCATTTGCTCTGCGCATTGTACGTTTGTGGAGGATCCTTTCACAACATGGCCGACACAACCATTTCCCTCGCAATCCGGACAGCCTACATGCTAGGCCTGCACTTGGATCCACCGGCCTCGATGTCGCGACGCGAACGCGAATTCCGACGTCGACTCTGGTGGTCCGTTTTTGAGGCTGATTCCAAGGTCGGTATGAAAGTCGGCCGCCCATTCCTCATTCGCGACTCGTACATCATGCCTGAACTACCCAGCGATACCCTCGAAGCAGCGATGGAGTCAGGTTCGGCATTTCCTCCCATTGGAGATAACGCTACATGGCTCAGCCTCAACTTGCAGCGCACGAAGCTATACCAAACCGCGAGAGCTCTCAATCAAGCATTCTACAGGCACCCGCTCAACATTGCCGACGGGAACTCTGTCTATGATGACCCAAACACAATGGAAGATCTCGCGAATGCCTGGGGTCCACGAACAGTAGCCCTCACAGAGTGGACAAAGCGGATTCCCCGAGCTCTCAAGACAAGCCGGAAACAAGGCAGCCCCTACTCGATTGATGATTCCGTTCTCGATATCGAGCAGTTTGCACCGCAGTGGCTCCAGCGACAGCGCTTGCAATTGGAACTCGAGTATCATCACCTTTGCATCGGCCTCCATCGTCCGTTCCTGTCTTTCGCTCTACAACAGGGAAGTTCGGCTACCGCCATGGCAGCCAAGTGCGCCCAACATGCCATGCAGCTCACAAGCATAACCCACCAAGTCTTAACCAAGACATCAATCCTCAACGGCTGGCATGAATCTTTCCAGTGGCAGTGGAGCGCCGCGATGACGTTGGTCGGATTTGCTGTTGCGTATCTCAATCACCCGCTCGCGCCAGCCGTACGCTCATCCATTAAGACCGCTGTCTCTGTTCTCGACATTTTCGCTCGTAGCTTTGATGCTGCTTCCAAAGCCGCTGTTATTGTCCGTACCCTGCACACGAACATCGAGTCTGTCATGTCCCAGCTTGGGATGCAGTCGAGCCCGACGACTGTAACAGCCGTGGATCCGCTCTTGTATAATCTACCTGTTCAGGGAGAAATGACGAACGCAGTTGCCAATCAGTTTGACGCGATCAGTGGAGATTTTGATCTTCTGGATATGGCGATGAACGTTGACTTTTGGGCTGATCTCGACATGCTTCTGCCGGGTACCTCGGGATCTACAAGTGATTCTGTTACGGCTTAATATTTGGGCCATCATCAATCTAGGCAAGCCAATTTGGCGCGTTTGACGACGAATGAGCGAGCGAAACACACAAATCAATTATCCTTGCTATACGGACTGCTTTCCATGAACGAGTGAATACTCAACACCAACGATACGAACCACCTCGACCAGCAACTTCGAAATTCCACCACCCGCTTCTCCTATCGCACGTCTGGAGCTTAAAGCTTCTCAAACACTGCTACAGCCGCCTTGGCAGTCGAAGTAGCGCTGGCGGGATTCTGACCCGTGACCAAGCGACCATCGACGACATGGAAATCATCCCAAATACCAGGAGCACGTTCATCTACATCCTATTAGTAGAGTCCAAGTCAAATTCGGGGAGGGAACTTACAAGTTGCACCGAGACGAGCGGCAACTTCCTCGACCATTTCACGATCCCAGCTGCGAAGCTCGTCCATGATCTTCATCGTGTGCTCAGCCTCGGTAGTGAAGCCAGTGATCTTCTTTCCCTTGATCAAAGGTTCATTGGTGGTGGGGTCAATGAGATTGGCAAAGATGGCTGGGCCATGGCAAACAGTCGAGACGACACCGCCGCTGGCCCAGACTTGAGCAGCGATGTTCTGGAGAGAAGATGCAGTGGGGTAGTCAATCAGAGCTGCGTGTCCAGCTGAGGCGTAGAACAGACCATACTTCGATGGGTCAAGCTCAGAGGCCTTGGGCATGTTGTCAAGCTTTTTGCGGAACTCGCTGTTGGTGTCGTTCCAGATAGCGAGGTCATCGCCATTGAGGAAGTCAGGCTGCTGGGAGAGCCAGTCGGGGGTATAAGTGCCAGTCTCTGAGGCAAGGTCGACCTCAAATCCAGCAGCTATCAAGACCTTGTAGGGATGAAGAGCTTCGCTGATGAAGAGGCCAGTGGTTTCCTTGCCGTCAAAGAGGGTGGCAGAAGCCGAGGTGATGCTGATGAGGGCACGGCGAGGAGGAGACATCTTGTGTGAGTCTATTGAGTGGGAACAGAGGATGTATCGGTGAATGTTTGTTTGAAAGCTGTTGGGAGTTGTTGTTGAATTGCTGAATTGTTTGGATTGAACTTCTGTTTACTGATGGGATCATCTGGCTCATATATACTCGTGGTGATTGAGTACATGCGAGGTGCTTACGAAGGCCATGACCGTGCAGTCTGCGCTTACGGCTTCACATTCTGGCATTGTCTCGGGATGCTGTGGGAGAAGAATGAGCCATTCCAATTGGTCAGGCTTGCATCACGACAAGCAGGCGTCCGATTCGGGATGGTGTTGAGCCTGCCACGCATGACCAACCCCAGCTTCGTCATACCCCCAGACCCCGAAGATAGCTTCTTGATAAGCCAGAAGATCATCGCACCAAATCGGAGTCTCCCATTCGATTGTCGACACTCCGATGTTCCTGAAGGATAGAAACGAGGTGGGGAGCACTTTGTTTGGAGATGCTCCCATTTGTCACAAGATTAGCGGCACAGAGGACACTTACCCATTGGATCGGATATCGCCGTCTGGGTCTGCCAAGGTCGGGACCCCGGAGTTGGAAATCAACGAGTCAGTGGGAAAATGACATAATCGCATGTCGCAACATTCGAGGTAACCAAGATAATAGCGTTGATCTTCAATCTAATTTTTCACTTCGTCAGAGTATAAGAAGTCGCTATGGCTCCAGCTAGCTCGCCCACTATGATCGCAATTCTAAATCATACGACTTTTACTTCAAGCATCGCTTTTGCCTTTACTTCATCACCCTACACTTGACCAGCAATCACATACAAAATGACAGTCACAAAGACGGCCACCACAATCTCTGCCGACAGCAGGCTCTTCAAGCCAATCCAAGTCGGCAATGTCCAACTCGAACACCGCATGGTCATGGCCCCTCTGACGCGTTACCGCAATGACGACAACCACGTTGCAAAGCCCTTTGTAGAGCGATACTACTCCGAGCGAGGTTCAGCGCCCGGTACTCTCATCATCTCAGAAGCTACCGGCGTCTCGATGCAAGACACTGGTATGCGACAAGGTCCCGCCTTCGTCACAGAGGAGCAGGTCGCTGCTTGGAAAAGGGTCATCAGCGGTGTTCACGCAAATAAGTCGCTCTGGTCGCAGCAAATCTGGGGTCAAGGCCGAGCTGCTGATCCCGAGTACCAGAAAGAGCGCGGCTTCAAGTATCGCTCTTCAAGCGCCGTGCCGATTGAAGCGGGTGCACCTGCGCCCGAAGCTATGACCGAGGAGGAGATTCAGGGCTTCATCAAGGACTTCGTCGCTACTGCTCGACGTGTCATCGATGCTGGTGGTGATATGATTGAGATCCATGGCGCTCACGGATATTTGATCGACCAGTTCACATCCGACTCGGTGAACAAGCGAACCGACAAGTGGGGAGGCTCTGTTGAGAACCGAGCGCGTCTTCTGCTCGAGATCGTCAAGGCTGTCTCAGCAGAAATTGGGTCCAAGCGCGTTGCCCTTCGCCTATCACCATATGCTTCCTTCCAGGGCGCCGAGTCATCCGACGTCAAGGAGCAATACTCCTACATCGTCAACGAAGTCAAGAAGATTGGCCCTCTAGCATACCTCTCTCTTGTCGAAGCCCGAGGTGACCCCGCCAAGCTGCTTGCTCCCGACACCGACCCTTCAGTTGACGCGCAAACCCTCGACTTTATCCTCGACATCTGGGATAATAACTCGCCCGTAATTGTTGCTGGCAACTACAGCCCTGCCTCTGCTGCTGAAGTCCTCGATGGGCACTACAACAAGTGGGACGTTCTCGTCGCTTTCGGTCGCCATTTCATTGCGAATCCCGACTTTGTATGGAGGATCAAGCATGGAGTTGAGTTGACAAAGTACGACCGTACTACTTTTTACGTCCGAGGATCAGAGATTGGATACAATGATTATCCTTTCTCGCAGGAATACGTCGATGCACAACGGGCTTGGGCTGTGGAGAACCTTCCAATGCACCCCAAATAAAGACATGCAGCGCGACTTTGATGATTGATGAAACCATAGAATAGAGCATACAATTAGATCTCGATATAAAATTACCATTTCCTTATACAATTAGCATATATATCATCAGTAAATCATGAAGGCTTTTGTCGCAGTCGCTGTAACGTGACACGTTGAACGAGAAGGGCGCTGTTGACATGCCCTCCGCTTTATGTGTCGTCATGGTTGCGAATGGTGACTTTTAAACGCAATGTGTATTTACCATCTTTCATCTTCAATTCAACGGTCAAGACTTTTACTATCTACAATCGAAAAGGAAATCACAATGGCTTCGCCAGCAAACTCATCATCTAAGATCCTCGAGGGCGGTTGTCTATGCGAAGCCGTTCGCTACAAGATCTCCTTCCCCAAGGATCACTCTCTTTCCAGCGACACCCTAGGTTGTATCTGCCAATGCACCCAATGTCGCAAACAAACTGGAAGCTTCTTCCTTGCGACCCTGACAGTCCCCGTCTCCGCCATCGAGTGGCAGGGCACCGCGGAAGATAAGATCAAAAGATATCGCAAGTCCGAAAACATCGCGCGGGGCTTCTGCGGCGACTGCGGCTCCTTTTTGTTCTGGCATCCCGACGGGCAAGATATCAGCGTCGCAACCGGAAGTCTGGACCCTTTGTATCTTTTCGGCGAAGGAGTCGAGGACAAGAAGAGTGAAGTCCCATCCGATGGATTCGCAAAGGAGGTCTTCAGTGGCCATTTCAACGTCGAGTTTTGCGAGAGTGAGATCAAGGGCGTCACGGATGATATGCCGATTCTTCATAAGGGAAAGCGATGTCAAGGCGATAGCTCCAAATCTTGAGGGCCAAGGAACCGCAACATGTTTGCAAGGTCGTGTAACTAGTCTCTGTCTCTATAGTTCTTCTCCTCGGCATCCTCTCTCATCGGTGGCGACAGTGAGCGCGGACGAGGCTGTGGTAGCGGAATGCCGCCCTGCGCATTGATGCGACGTATCATATCGCCGACCTCGGGGTAATCAGGCTCGTCTTTCGGTCTTCTGTCAAATATTCTCATCTCTATGATAGTCAATGGTCGTCTTTCCCAGATGTCTCTGTAAATATGATGGTGCGTGAGTGCTCTCGGTGCGTCAACTCTCACGCGATTCTGCTTATCGCCCAGAATCGGCAGAGGTGATGGCAATGTTCCCGGCTCCTCCTGGAGAAGAAAGTCAAAGAGGGCCTGCTGCTGCTCATCTCGTAGCTGGTACACCCTTATCGTCTGGCTCTTGCGGCAAGGGTGAAAATAGATATTGGGTATCTCATCCGGATTTTCTGGGCGTCGATCAAACACAGTCACGCCGCCCAGAATGCGGTCCTCAGCCCAGTAGCCAACCATATCTGCGACCCCTTCTGGATATATATCGTCGTCAAGATAATCGTGGTGACTGAAAAGAGTTGGCCCAGGCGGAAATCGAGCCATCGTCTCAGATAGCGGCATCTCCCAGTATGTGACAGCGTCAATATCGCCCTGGTGAAGATGAGGTTCGAGCTTATGCAGCCAAACTGCTATTTGATGCAAAGAAACAGCTACTAACTCAACTAGGCGCATATTAAATGGTTTGGAGCCGGGATCGGCTATTTGAAAGGCTTTTAAGGTCTAGAAAGATTGTTAGTGAGGGACGTCAAAGTGATCAGGCTGATGTTGATAACGAGGCAAGATCCTGCTGATCGAATGTAGTAGGGACTTACGTCAGGATCGAACCTGAGACTCAAGGGGTCCCATTGTTTGTAGTATTCATGTGCTTTGTCCAAAGCCCCAGGGCACAATGTTTCATGGTCATTGATGATGTGTTCTCCCATGATACCGGGAAGTCGACGGTCCCAGGCAACATCCGCAACGGGCAGGCCATCTATAATTTGGGCGTAGGTGAACTGTGCTAATTCTGTTGACAGAACATTCCTTATGGCGCGGTCTAATATTTGGCGATGCCATTCGGAAGAGATACTTTTCAATGGCAGACGACTGTCATACGCAGCGCGTGCAATGTCTCGCAGCCTTTCCTTGAGTGCTTCCAACTGGTCGGGTTCCATGGCTAATACGTCTTATCTATTTTTGTTCGACGCGATGGATTGGCTATTGTCATATAACACATGCGAAGGTTAGGTTCCGACAGGTCACATCGGACACGTTGTAGGCAATGGTGTTGGTAGAGTAAATGCCTGACTTCCAAGGCCACCTCCGCCTAATCAGTCGTGGTTGGACTTGGTTTAATTCTCGCAGACGAACAGAATCAATAGGCGACCACAACTTCAGATCACATGAACTTCCACTCGTGCCAACTTACCAAGTTACCAGTTAATTTAACGACCCTAGAAAGCTGTACTTCTTGAGAGTAATTGTTACATATTATCAACATCTCGCGGATTAGATCGAGTATTAATGTCATGGCACTTTGACTCTGGGAGTCTAGCATCAAGCAATAGCTTTTGGGACTCTTTTACTTACGATTATGTACCAATGGACTATTGGATAGGGAGGCTATCTCTGCCGGATTTGGAGTCATGATGGATAATGTTCTTCATCTATCTTGTTGTTCACAATGGATTCACGCTACAGCCCAATGCAGTTCGTAGTAAATCTTGAGATCAGAAGAAAACATAGAACAACGCTTAAGATCAGTGAAGCGTTGGTTAATATGCCATTCACTCAAGCTGCAAGTCTCTTGTAATAAAATGGTTACCACAACTATTCTTTCCCTATGTAGCTTGTCTTTCGGCCTATTGTCACATTTCGCCTATTGCTATACCATAAACCAAATACTAACATTTGGAAGCCTAACCCTACAGATTCCCCTATTGACTATCTCCGATGAGTACGCTCAACCTCTATCTCGCCATCTCCAAGGAGCGAGGTCAAGATCAACCTCGACACTGGATTCTCATGCTTGCAGAAGAAAATGCCACCCACGGAATCTTCTATCATATAACTGGTGGGCCCATGCACGGTAAGCCATGTGAAGTTACTATTGAGCCCAAGCGTGTCGAAAGCCATGGCATCGAGGAGCGTCACTTGATTGCTCAGGTCCTCGAGAAGGATAGGCAGAAGATCAAGGCTGCTGTCCGGCAAGCTCCTGCGCTATTCTGTCAGCGCTGGATCTTGAATGTTCTCGAGGAATTGGAGAAGCAAGGTCTTGTTCCCGAAGGAACTTGTTCGAAGTGGAATGAAGCCTTGGAAACTGACCCCTTCTCAGATGATGGTGCTCCCTCGAAGAAGTCTTCAGGTGGCGGCCATACTACTGACGCTTAGGTCTACATAGGTACGTAGGACCCTTTCAGATTCAATCATCCGCTGATATGTGCTATTCGTGATTCAGTGTGCGGTAGAACCCAAGTTGGAAATCAGGGGACAAAAGCTCTTCTAACTTTAGGCCAGAATACCAAAAGCTAGTCTAAGGACCCACTAAGTTTACCTAAGTTTACCTAAGTCTTTCTGCAGTTTAGGATAGATAGCATCAATTTTATTGCTCGAGTCGTCCTCCTTTGTAACAAGGAGCAGTAATCTACCGGCCATACAAGATCGGCTTCTCTTCTCAAGAACCCCATTTCAGTGTCTCGCCGACCTCCATCGACGTAGTCTCGGTTGTTTCCAGATCATATTCAACCTTATGGAGTAACTGAAGCTCTACAGCTTGCGCCAGACCATCCACGTATCCTTCCGTAGTGAAGCAAATCTTGGTGCCAAACTCCAACTCGCTCCTATCAGGCCCTGCAGCGAGCCGCCTCCCGCCGTTCAGACGACACAATGCCGCAATAATGCTTAGAAAGTCTCTGGTGTAAGCTCGGTTAGACCGGTCCTCCAATACTTGAAGGTTGTCTATAAAGACATGCACCAATCTCGGCCCCAGCTCACGCACATCACGGATCAACTGGAGCGTCTCGCTCACGTCCAATGTCCCTTGTGCGAGGCTTGCAAAGCGAGCAGGAGGTAGGTTCGCCTGGGAATAACCCCTCTCTGGGATTAGCTGGACGAGTTGTGTGACAACAGAGGCCAGAAATGCCTTAAGTTCAGCTCTCTTGGGCGTCCCAAAAGCGTCATGATTTGTGAAGGTGCAAAAATAGGCGACAAAGGGGATGTTATGGGTTCGTGCCAATGCCGTAAGAGATGCAGCCGTCATGGAATTTTGGCTCGATCTTGAAACGTCATAAGGCCCCTGAATCCAGAAATTGGTTGAGCTCAGATCTCGAAGCCAGGTTTGCAAGCGACGGTGAACCTGCCTGTCGATCTGGAGAAGTGATACTTGCTTGGCAGCCTCCGTTAAAAGTTCAACCTGATGCTTCCATTGAATAGTGAAGTGGGCTAGCTCTGCCTGGATCTCTGCACGGTTGTACCTGTAATGCGCTTGTCGGCTCGGGAGAGCTTCCAATCCCGGTGAGGGCGGTTTAATGTTATCACCGACCACCGCATCAGAACGTCCTTCTGCCGTTGTTTCAATCATGTTTGTAGCAAAGGATGGTTGAGGTCTTTCCAGAGCGAAGAATTGTTGTTGCTCTAGTAATTGTTGAAGCGTCTCCCCGAGAAATAGTCTCTGCTCGTTCAGTTGATTTGGCAAGCGATACAAGAGTTCCTTTTGACTCTGAATCAGCATCTCTAAACTCTCAGTGGTTCGGTGTCGAAAGTCAAGGCTGACGTGGCGTTCCATACGGCGTTCAATAACTGACATTCGTTCTTTTTCGCAGTGAAGAGCCTGTTAAATGCACCATCATCAAAACTGGTGAGGAAACGTTTCCAGCCAGACTTGGACCAATTGTTGAAGACCTCGGTGAAGAACTCAAAGACAATGACGTAAAGTTCCTGAATGTACTGCCGAAGTGATGGAATATTTCCATGCTCCATCATTTGACGGTTCCAGAAATCAATATCATGGCTCAGATCGAGGAGCGTATCAGCCACTCCTTCTGCGATCTTCTGGTGGTTGATGGTCGCTTGAACGATAACTGAGATGGACCCGGTCAGTAGAGTGACATACTTGTCATCCCTGGGAACTATGGCGAGCAGTGAGCTATGGTCGTGGCAAGTCTGACAAATGCTGTGGAATTTGGATTTGAGTTTGCCCAGCTTGCTTTCATCACGATCGAACTGCCATGTTGCCGAGGCTTTAGTGACAGTTGCGAACAGATAATTGACTTCTGGTCGATCGTTTGGCTCAAGCTGAATCTGCTGGCCCTGAGGGAGGTCACATCGAAATTTATCCCATGCCGCATACAGCCTACGACTCTGTTCAATGAGAACGACTTCTTCGTCTGGAACACAAGCATTCGCCAGTTCTCGTCCCTCTAACAGAAGCTGTGCCCATTCGTCTCGCAACGGGTTCAGTCGTTCTCGATTTCTGTCAAACGCCACTTTGGCTGCCAGTGCTCGGCCAAGGGGTTCTTCTGGCGTGGAAGCCACGACATCATCGCTGAATCGTCTGGTAATCCCCTTACTAGGTTCAGATTTGAAGAATCTACTCATGACTTGGATGGGCCGAAAGTTAGAGGAATGGGGACAAGATTCTCTTCCTGTCAAAAGATTCACAGCTATTCGCAAGAAAACCTGAATTAGTCCTCACCGGTTCGGGCCTGCTGTGTAACCACTGGCGGCCCCTTCGTTACTCATTACCTGTCCAACAGGTGTTTCCTCCCAGCGTGGCTAAGCGATCACAGTGAAAGAAATCGAGGAGACTTTGCTTGTGATAATTGCTTTCTTGTACGCCGTACTCACACAAAACTCACGCAAAGTAACGGCCAGGTGCGTCGATTGCAATGCCCCTGAGGGGGTCTTCTTTTTCCTAGCATCCTCCCCTCTTACTGAAACGTGTCCATGGGAGCACTACATGACGGTGTAACAAGCTTGACTATCTATGGCGTGATGAATCGCCATACTCATCGTCTGGCCCTCTCCACCGCTCTTCTACTGATATCAGCGTAAGAGCATCAGTCAAGCATTAACTAGCCCTTTTCATTCTTTTTCTTTCTCTAAAATACAAGCCAAGTTCTACTGTTAAACCTCACGGCGAATGGCATCAACGGTCAGGTCCAATACCGGCGCCACGGACGAGTCACCCAGTCCGCCTTCGCCGTCCTTGGGCTCGCCCAGCCAAATTGGCAACCAACGCTCGCGACAAAACATTGCTGTCCCATATCTCAATGATCATAGTGATGACTCGGATTTCGGCTTAGAATATGATTATCAAAGACGAGCACACCATCACGGTAACACCAAAAGAGACCTTGTTATTGATCTGATCAAGCTCCGACGACATGAAGACTCAAATACAGACCATCCACCTGCCGACCCGGCCATTATTTGGAACGCCATGGTTTACCAGAGCCAAGCAAAACTTCGCGGAAATGATATCGATTCACACGGACCTGACTTGACCTATGTCGATGATCGGCCTATTGAGTTTTCCATTGGCCTTTCTACGCAGCTGGCAGCTGAGACCGATGAGAAGGTGTCACAAGCCGAGGCCTGGACGGGACCCGTCATAATTATCGAAACCTTGGTCGAGGCCGATATCGATCAGGATAGGCTATCTAGAATGAAGAGACTCCCGGAAACAGTGACTTCGTCTTGTCTTGATCTGCTGAATCCAAAGCACGTCTCCCCACGACATCTCGTGGTAAAATCCGATTTCCTTTATCGAGGTCTTTAGTGACCTCATTCAATATTATCCATCATTCCATGAGATATTGATGGGTGACTCAAAAGCGGGAGAACTGAGGATTGAGGAGCCTTTTGCTGTTTTGTTCCATCATTTTGACGCCATCGCAGCCATGGCCGACGGAAGTACAAGCGCAGCGGACTATGATACTAAGTTTGGAAGAACGAGTCAAGATCATCACTTAAAGGTACTCCATACAAAGCATTTAATGGAGTTTCTCAGGCCAATTTACGTTAAGTCCATCTTAGCATGTCAAAAGCACTTGTCCAACTCCGTCCCCCAGGTCGCCTTTGACATGGTCTGGTATCCTCTCAAACCCGGAATAGACGTCTATGTGCAGCTTGATGGATCGACGCATGCTGCAGTCGTGATGGCAGTCAGACGCACTGATGTCTCTTGGTCCGAGATATGGGGGACTTGGGGTGACGGGTCCTGGCAGGTCGACCTCTGGAGGCTCGAAACGGATGGCTCCAGACTGTATCGAAATTTCATTTCCGTAAGGATAAATCCTTATTCAGGATTTCGAGATGTCACTAGTCTTCAAGTGTGTCCGGTGTCTATTTGGGATGCATATGACGGCGGCGAGCGACGTAGGAACGTTTTATGCCGCGCTGAAACTCTTTTCAAGGCGCTTCAGCGAGGCAATCTCTTCGTGGATTAGCAGGGACCCATCAAGGAAACCGCCCAATATGTAAGATTTAGGCTTGCGTGAAAATGCTAGCTATCTCACTGACACCTATATAGTATACGGGAAAGGTGGTTATCGATCATGGAAGAGGGCGTGCAGAATCTGAGTTCAATCGGGGCCTTTCTCAACAAGTCAGAGACTACTCAGACCTGTTCAGGGGCTACGACGGGATTCTTCTCAACAACGATAGGTCATTCTACACTGCCCAAAACAGTCGAGACCGTCGCCAAAACCATCAACTCAGACCACCGAGTATTAACAATGCCAGAATCAACGGGGAGGGGTCGCCAGAATCCGCGTCTAACTTACCTCGGCATGATTCCCCTGACGTGATTTGTATGGGGGCCAATCCTACCGTCGTTCAACAACTAACGGAGCACCAACTCCTCCTGTTATGCCCAGACGTTTTGGCGTATGGGCTGAGACGCAAGCACTGGAGTATGCTCATCTTTCCCTCTCAGTATTGTCGCAATGACACTAATATGGTTTTAGTGCTGATCTCCCTAGACTACGTTCAAGAGCCCATACCATCGGAGGAGAGTATTTCAAATCTAATCATCGCCCAAGATGAGTTGAAAACCATTCAGGCTCTCTCTAATTGCCAGAATAGTCAGACAAGGCACTGGTCAGCGGATTTCATTGAAGGGAAGGGATCGGGGCAGATCATACTGCTACAAGGTATCTCCCTCTTTGTAAAACCTTGTTCTTTTCCTCTCCTAACAGACAATCTCTTCCTAGGTCCTCCAGGAGTGGGCAAGACTTACACAGTCGGTGCGTCAGAGGCGAATAGCTAGAGTGAACACTCGCTGACAAAACAAAGAGGCTATCTCTGAATGGCTGCGTCGGCCACTCCTTGCTCTCACAGTAGCTGATATCGGTACGGTCGAGACACTCGTTGAAGGCGAGCTTATGAAATGGTTTGATCTTGCGGAAGCCTGGAACGCAGTGCTTCTTGTTGATGAAGCCGATATCTTCCTCGAACGGAGGCAGAATCGAGACCTTGCTCGAAACGGGCTGGTATCAGGTAAGTTCGCTGCTTAGCGTTTGCGACACTATCGCCGATGCAAGGTACTAAGATTTCACCAACAGCCTTCCTTCGAAGAATGGAATACTTTAAGGGTTTGCTGTTTCTGACTACCAATCGCGTTGGACAAATAGTCGACGCCTTCGTCTCACGCGTACACATCGCAATCGGGTACCAGGCCCTTGATGAAGAAACTCGGCGGAAGGTCTGGAGTGGCTTTTTTCGCAAGCTGGTGCGCGAACGCGCTGGCAAGGTACAGATCGCACCAGACGCAAAGAAATGGGTTCTTGACACTGCCAGTGAGACGAACCTCAACGGAAGAGACATCCGCAATGCATTGCAGACGGCCATCACGCTGGCAGAGTTTGAAAGCGAAGAGGACCCGGACTATGATGCTTCATTGGTGACGGTTGTCACTAAGGCCCATTTCCAGAAGGTTTTGGAGATGTGCAATCGGTTCCGCAGTTATGTTACAAGTATACGGAGGGAAGACGAGATGAAGCGTGCCCAGGGGCGTGGAGATCGGAATGATTATGGGGATGAGTTTGATAGTAGGATGTGCTAATTACTTATCACTACCGACCGCTTCAACACGACTGGGATTAACCAATGTGGTGCTCGATTGTCAGAAACCAGTCTCGGTACCTCTAACATATAAACACCTTTTGAAAACCTCAAGAGGTTTCATGATCAGGAAGGGCTTTCGTGTGCTGATGCTGGCGTTGGCAAGCGGAGGAATATCTATCTAAACATAAAATGTGCAAAGATAGCAAACATCAAGTGCATGCGAATAACGACAAGGGTGATATGTTTATCGTGAAGCTGCTTGGCCTTGAATGGGGCTGTGTGGGTCGTGGAACATCAAGGCGCACAATTAGCGGTCGGGGTCCCATCAATAACCAACAAAGCCGTCATCGTATAGGGGTCAGTACATCAGTTTGTGGCTTTTGAAAGCACTGAAAACGCAAGTTCGAGTCTTGCTGACGGCAAACCTCATCTTTTTGTTTCTCGTCACTTGAAATGGCTTCGCATCAAGTCCGTGTTGACTTTTTGCGTTTGCCCAGAAATGGCTCAGGGTCAGACCCCAGCCTATGGTGAAATCGATTACCCAAAATATATCACAGTACCTAATTGAGTGTTAAGCACGCTTGCATCGCGCATCCTGGACTTCGGCTGCGGCCTGCTTCCAACATCGTCTCCATTCACGCGTCTATTCAATTGGTGCGATGTATCTACTTTTGAGGGCGTAGTTGTGAGAGAAATAATTTACTACCTCTGAGTTTGGAAACATTCATTCTTCTCAGTCTACCCTCGAGGGATATAATAGCTCACAGCTTCTCGCAGCTGGAATAACTCTTCAGAATAAGATATTGATTCTGGTGCCGGGTAAGCGATGACGTACTGGCAGCATGTTTGTGATCTTGATATGGATCTCTGCGAAGAAGATTTAACTAAACCAGGGAAGAAATCAGTAAGGAAAATCTATTTTTAGTTTTCTTATAAATTTAATCTTTGTTTCTTCCAATAGGTAATCCCCCATGATCATTCGGACATGAGATATCGATGATGTTGCGATCAAGCTGCGTGTCAGGCTGTCAGCGGCGCTACCGTCGCCTCCAACAACCCCAAATTCGCTTTCTCGAAACAAGTCAGCTAAGCGTAATTGGTTTAGTGGTAAAATTCTCCGTTGCCATTCGAGCAGCGTCGGGGAGCCCAGGGTTCGATTCCCTGATTACGCATTTCTTTTGCTGTTTCTTCATCTTTTTGCCATTTGTTTTAACTGCCGTGATCCCCCATGTTCAGTCAAATTGTTTTGAACTTTGTTGACGACGCGTTGCAAAGTCTAAACTGTCGCGTGGCAGCTTACCCTACAAGAATCAACCGCGCTGTGGCTGCTGCGGCGCAACTCTTTTGTGGCGCCCTTACCACAACGGGGCTAGACCGTTTGCAGATCTTACCTCACTTTAGTAATGGCGAACATGGATCGTATTCAAGGACACTCTGTACGACTCTCAGCCTCCCTTGATTCACCTCATCATTTCAAACTCTCACACAACATTCCCATTAACCCCCTCATCGCGCGACAATTGAAGTGCTCAAACCTTGCGCGCGCATGAATGCTTCCAATCGCTAGATCACGACAATCCGTCAGCATGGGCGGGCAACAGCCGGATCTGCTGCCTCGCTCCGAGCACGAAGATAAGCCCTCATCGTCAGCACCGGCCTCGCGCTTCAACAGAGACAAGATCAGGTGCCTCGACGGCTTGCGCGGAATCGCATGTCTTCTTGTCTTCAATTATCACTTCTTCTGGCCATGGACGCCTGCTATCATGTTAGGCTATGGCGCGTTCCCTCCGCGTGCGCCTGAGCCGTATTGGGGATTGCAGTCGTTACCAATTATTTGTCTTTTGCATCGTGGACGTGCTATGGTTGCCATTTTCTTCGCCATATCTGGTTATGTTATTTGCCGCCATATTCTTCGCTTGATCCATGAGCGCAAGCTTGATACTGCTTATCAGAAGCTTGCCTCATCTGTTTTCCGACGTGTCTTTCGCCTCTATATTCCTCCCACCATCAGCATGTTCCTTGTCGCCGTGCTAGCTCAAATCGGTGTCTTCAAGTCCGAGTTCGCCATTTACAAGGGTCCTGACTCTCATTACATCAACGCGACGATTACTCATGCCGATTTGGCCGAGGGTAACTTCTGTGCTAATGGCACCGCTGTAAGAGGAGCTACAGGTATCGCGAATTACTTGGGAATAGAAACCACAGCGTATCTCCGCAATACCACTGGATATCCTGAAGGAAACGCCACAGAGTGGACAGACATGCTCCTTTGTGTCAATCACACAACTCGATCGTATGGACCGTCTCAGCTCTACACCCTGGAATCCGAGTATGAGGCCCAGTTCCCCAAGAACGACACGAACTCCACCAAGTCTGTTAAGGATAACACTAGTATGGAGCGACTTGCAGCTCTCAGCTACCTGGATGACGAAGACGATCTCGATCTCACCTTCGGTAATGCCACCAACGCCACAAACCCACTGAACCTTACTTGGGTTCAGATGGGAGGCTCATGGGAGGAGCATCCCTTCATCCACCCGAACTTGACATACGCGATGAAGAACTTTACCAGATCCTACGCCGAGTGGGCCAACCCCTTCAACTTCGGTCACTATCATACACGCTATGATCCGCACACTTTCACAATTCCAATGGAGTTCCGCGGCTCGATGGTCATCTACATCTTTCTCCTCGGTACAGCTGCCATCAAGGCCAAATGGCGAACGAGAATCGGCTGCTTCCTCTCCGCGTACAGTCTCTTCATCGGAAGATGGGACATGGCGACTTTCTTGGGCGGTATGTTGCTTTCAGAGCATGATGTTCGACGCTCATCAGATCTGCCACCATCGGCTACCGGTGCGAAGGCTCGCGGCGGAGACTTCCAGCGGACAACAAAAGGAACAGCGCTGCGATGGGCTGGTATCGTCCTGGCGTTGTACTTCTTGTCGTATCCCGACTCTGGCGCTGAGTACACGCCGGGTTTCGCCTATCTTTCGACCTGGGTGCCTAAGTACTACACGCCGCTGTCTGGATGGATGTTCTACGAGGCGATGGGCGCCGTGCTCCTCGTTGCGTGTATCCTGCGAAGTCCAGTGCTCGTTCGCTTGCTTGAAAGCCGGCTCCCGCAGTATCTCGGCAAAGTCAGCTTCTCGTTATATCTCGTACACGGACCTGTGTTGCATAGCTTGGGCTTTTGGATCATGCCGAGACTGTTTGACAGCTTCGGAAAGACGGGCGGATACGCGATTGGTTGGGTTGTTCTGCTGGCCATCACATTTTACCTGACGGATCTGTGGAACAAGAAGATTGATGGTTGGAGTGTAACGGTTGGAAGACGAGTGGAGAAGGCGCTTTCAGAGGACTGAGTTCAGGTGACGTTACTGTGAAGTTTGGTGGTAAACGAAAGAGGGGACGTGTGATGGAATTCACAGGACAATCGGGTGATTCATGGTAGTGACATGTAGAGTACTGCATTTATGCGCGTTTTGCATCTGGAGAATGTTTTCTTGGGTTTCACATCAGTTAAAAACTGCGAACAACAAACTTTTGAATCATGTACCTCGCGTGGGCGTTGGAGCGGGCGCATGTTGCACCGTTTGTGAAGTTTCGAAGTTAAACCAGGCACCGACTTCGGCAATGGCTGAAGCGCAAGGAAATCCTAAATCTCGGCACTTGAGCTTGTCTGATCCACCTTTTGGCATGAGGCTGTTGATCTGGGCGTCAAAACAGGCAGAGGACGGAGCACTTCTGTATGTCGTGCACCCGCATGTTAGGGCGACAAGCGAGCTCGGCTTTCGTTGAGCAAAGGCCATTGCAAGGAGGCAATCAGCATCATACCAAGAAAAGCTAGTGATAAAGTTGAGCATTCTTTTTGAGAATATCCGTAGCTCAAGCTTGTGATTCTGACGATGGTACGTCGTTGTTCTTACGTCACCCCCACTGAGGGACCTAGCGATGTCGGCCCCATCAATTTCATATCAGATCGCAGCGTCCTGACATCATCACCATCTCGGATTCTCGCTTCTTTCATCAACTAAAAGCTTCGCAAAAATGGTGTCTCAGCCCTCACTCCTCGCCGCCACGGCCAAGGTACGATCCATCCAATCGTGCGATGCGCCCACTGACATTCGCAGCTCAACAATGGCCTCATCATTCCCCGCGTCCAACTCGGTCTTTATATGATGTCCACCAAAGAAGCCACCGACGCAGTTCGCCAAGGTCTCCTCACCGGCTACCGCGGTTTTGACTGCGCGCAGATGTACCACAATGAGCGCCAAGCCGGTAAGGCCATCAGCGACTTTCTCGCCAGTAGCGAGAACGTGGCTGGTTTGAAGCGCGAGGATGTTTGGTACACTTCCAAGCTCGCCAGCTGCGACGAGTCGTATGATGTTGTGCGACGATCTGTCAAGAAATCTGTTGAGGCTTCGGGATTGGGATATATTGACCTCTTTCTGCTTCATAGCCCGTATGGTGGAAAGAAAGCCAGGCTTACGAGCTGGAAGGCGCTCGAGGATGCTGTTGATGCAGGTGAGATTCGTTCTGCTGGTGTCAGCAACTTTGGCTCTGCTCATGTAAGTTCAATGTCTCCTGCTTGTCGTTGAAGGTACTGACACCCTTCAGATCGAGGAACTTATGGCTTCCAACCCTCGCATCCGGCCAGTGATCAACCAGATCGAAGTTCACCCATTCAACACTCAAGAAGGAATCCGCGCCACTTGCGCCAAACACGACATCGCCATCGAGGCCTACGCCCCTCTCGCTCGCGCTGAGCGCATGGATCATCCTGCCATTGTCAACATGGCCAAGAAGTACTCCGTGACACCTGCCCAAATCTTTGTGAAGTATGGCTTTCAACCAACACCGCGATTTGTGTACTGACGTTCTCTAGGTGGGGGCTTCAGCATGACTTCATCACTCTTCCCAAGAGTACCAAGCAGAAGCGTATGATCGAGAACGCAAGCGTCGATGGGTTTGAGATTTCGGAGGCTGATATGAAGGAGCTGGATGGTTTGGATGAACATTTGGTTACAGACTGGTGAGTATTTCTATCTTCGAAAGTGCTTGAGTTGAATACTAACAACTGTCCAGGGACCCAACTGAGGCGCCCTGAGTTCCCTTCAGCAAGAACCCTTCCATATATATATAAACAAGCACTTTTTTACAAAGGGGTAGTTCTTGCGTGGTGACATCGACGTGAAAGCTTCCGCTCTCTCTTCTTTTGGCCCTGGTTCTTGAATGTGATGGGGGGATTTGACAAAATACGAAGAAACGCATGACAAAATAACTGGTCACTCCCCAGATGTGACCACAAAGAGACAAGGATATATGGAGATGTAGCAGCTTGTCGATGGACGTTTAGATTCAACTTGGATTCCGCCTGGTAAACAAACGTGTCCAGATCTCATGCGATGGCCGACCGCCGCTGATGATACCCACAGAATCCAACCCGTTTTCAGCAAAGACACGAACTTTCTCATAGCCTCTCATCAATATATCTTCGTATTTGGAGTCAAGGCTTACGGCCGAGAGCTTACGACCACCCAAGACTTAGATACATCTCAAGATGGTGAGTCGTCAGCTCCCATTTCTTGTCTGACCCATAACAATATTAGTTTGGCACGTCTTCCAGCCTTGGTGAGGGAAACAAGTCGAAGCCATCTCAATTGCTCACCATAAAGTCCTTAGGTAAGTTTATGGTAGTTTAGTAAAAATTAGGATAATTTAGTGTAGCTTAGGATATCTTAGGATCCGCACTGTATGATAATTTATGATTAACTTAGGATCTTGTGCTGTAGTTTGCTTCAACCAGACTAAGGAATCGATGTGAAGGACGAGATTTACAACTTATAATAGAGACACATGATACAAGACAGCTGAACCAAGCTTCTTGCGTATTCACCCAAAGTAACGAAGACCTGATAGATTTTGTAGTTGAATGTCTTTAGTGCGAATCAAAATCTGTTCCATATCACAGGAAAGGGGAACCAGTGCGCAGCTGTTGTGGTTTCTGGTTAGATGGCCCGTGCCCTGGCGTCGATTCCTGAAATACCGTGAAGCTCTTCTCTGCTCTGCTTTTCTCCTCCTGCAACATTGCCGCCACCTTCTGCCGCCGGTAAGTAGTCCTCTTCCCTGGGGCACTCCGATGCGATATTCCTAGACTAACTACTGAGAACAGCGTATGTATCTACTGATAACCGATCTCCCTATGCGCTAGACCTTGGCCGCTGACGTGTAGTTCTTCGCGATAGGTGTTTCTTTGTCAACAAGCCCCGTAAGTTCATTTGCGGTTCGAATGAGATGGGTAGCCTGCTAACATCCATGCTTGGCTTGAGTAGTTCGTTTCCAGCAGAATCTTGTGAGTTCTCCCACTCCGACTGACATCCAACTCAAAGGAGTCACTCGGACCTTTCTAGCCCTCAAGTAACTGACACCCCGAGCAGTCACAACTCTCACATGTACGTTTGAATCCAACCTCAAACTCGACAACATCCCGACTCGCCACTGTGTGCTTTCGAATACCCCTGACACGATTCAGTCCAATATGGCTCCCGATGCTGCGGATTCGGCTTCGGCCCCCTCCTCCTCCCCCGCTGCCCCCTGGTCTGGGCCTCCCAAGCCCAAACGCCTTGTAAGTCACCCCTATTGTCGCTTGGAGACTTCTATTCCTGACATTCTGCAGCCCAAACGCAAGGTCTGTTGTATAAGCTTTGTCCCATCCATGTACTAATGACCTCTGGCAACTGACCGCCTCTCAGCACTACCACAGTGAGCTCGCCGTAAGTCTCTCCATGCAAATCGACGGAAACTCTTGCTGACGGTCCCCGTTGTTCAGTATCTGGAAGATCTCAGAGAGGTAAGAAGATTTAGAGCTCCAAAAAGTCAATGAAAGATGATTGACAGAGAATACAGGCCAAACGTCTTCGGCTTGCTGTAGGTTTTCTACAACTGTGAGCCGGAAGGGTTCTAACATATAGGGTCTTATAGTACAACCGTGCCGATCTGAATGTATGATTCTCACCTCACTTTGAGCTTACCATTTCATTGTGATCCGCGGGGTGAATCAAGGGGAAAAGACTGATATGATTCACAGTGGATTCATGCTGAGCGCGCGCGCCTTGCGGAGCGCCTCAAAGTTGTCGATAGCCTTTGCAAAGTAAGTAGCAACACGATTTACTCGCACTCCAATATGTCTCGCATATTAACATGAGTTCTAGGAAGACGCCGAGTCTATCGACGTGAGTGTCACGGTTTATTCGCCTAGATGCTGTTCTAATGAATCTTCTTTTCATCGCTTAGGCCTTCAAGGATGAGATTGCGGTCTGTCTTCCTCATGATTGACATTGTGAATGGATTGCTGATACACACCAGCCTCTCAGGAAACGGGTCGAGGCTCACGCTGAGGCACCGTCCTCTAGCCTGACCCCTAGCCTGGAAGTAAGTTGATCCCCCGATGTGAGAAATAAATTAACAGCTTTTCAGGAATACGTGGCGAGAGGCGTAGGCAGCATCTCCAATGTTTTTTGACAGTAACTAAATTCTTGGACTCTATAGCGAAGGATGGTTGATGAGGCGAAGGCTGCCGCTGTACGTAACATTTCCCCCCTGTCAACGATGTCTGTTATATTAACGTTCCACAAGGCTGCTTCCAAGACCGAGGGTCCCGAGCCCAACTCCTCGAACGTGAGTAGCTACATCAAGACCTTTAGAGTCATAAGATTAACACCACTTTAGTAATTCTTCTACACTAGTATGACCTACGCTCCTCTCCCTTTGACATATGTTGACGTGCTCAAAGGAGGCAAGCATCACTGCTGATATCACTACCGCATTTGACAAATTGAAGTAGAACTGACTTGGTATTTCTAGTCGACTACAATTACGTACGTATGTCAAGGTCTGAGACCCAGTTATTGTCATACTGTTGCTAACCTTTCCAATAGTCTTTTTAGTCTCACATACGAGTAAGAACCTGAAACGAAACTGGTTTCTACTCGATGACTAATGCCGATGTGATGCAGATTGATGACCGCCGGGGCGCGGCCCGTGCAAATGAGGATTTTCATGATACCTGTTGCTTAGTGACATGCCGTGAGCTTACACCGCAGGACATATCGCTATTATGATCAGGCCGAAGATAGAAGTGGATTGCTTCAAAAGAATGTCCGACTCAGAGGTATCAACGCTTTTTCCACTGTTGATCCTCGATTAACCATGTATTCCAGATAACTGCACCGGTTCATCTTGCAAGTGCCATATGTATCAGTACTCTCAGCTCTATCATGGTCGGTCTGCCCTCATTCCTTTCCTTCGCTATTCTTCGATGAAAGCTAACTGCAGCCTTACTGTGTCAATTTGTGCAAACCAAGCATGAACTGGCACTAGACAGCATGAATACGACTGCTACCACGGGGTCAAGAATGGCAATCTTCGAGGTAAGGGCGCGATGTTCATGTCGAAACAGAAATGAACCTAATTGGCTTCGGTGCAGAAGCAGGCTGAATTGGGAGACTCGGACAGAGGCACAAGCGGTGATGTCAGGCCGGCAAAGACTGCATGGGCGACTCAAACTCGGGATGGATTGGTCGCAATGGTTCTTAGACGGCCTCAACTCATTGATTCACCCCTGCGACCGTGAACCAAACTTCCTTCTGGAATTGGGTTCTAGTCAGAGGCTTCAACAACAAATTAGCGGTACAATGAGCATTAAGACCGCCAGCAACATGATGATTGAGCCCAAATGTCGGGTGGTTTCAATTGCATCCTTGATTCGTGCAACACCACACGGAGTCGGGTGGATCCCGATACTAAAGTACACAAATCACGGGCATCGCCATGCAGACTGAACTGCAGGACTAAAGAAAGCATGTGAAAGTTTCCCCTAAAGTCATCCTAAATTATCATAAATATGGATCCTAAACTTGCCTAAGATACCATAAACTATCATAAACTTACCTAAAATTCATCTGCTTAGGATCACCAGATTTCGTGAGATCCAAGTCTGACACAAGGGCAAGAGGACCTTGACAGTGCAGCTTGCTCGTCTCTGGTTCATGCCTGGCCCTGCCTTGTGTAACAACGAGTTGGCCCGTGCCCACAAAATGTTTTGGTCAGTGCTTCCAAGGGCGATCCTTCGTCACTTTTCCTCTTTTTTCACCCACAACATCTCGCCGCGACAGTCACCCTTCTGGACCTTGGGCAGAGAATCCAGCGATGGATAAAGCCAACACGTTCCAAGAAACCGAACTTTCTTCTTGCACTTCACACATGAAGCACGGCGCTCAACATCGCCGCCGCCGGTAAGCACCTCTCTTTCGTCGGGACCTTTGAATGGAATGACCAAGAAGTTGATGATCTTGCGCTAACTATTGAAATCAGCGTACGCGACTGGTTATTCCCGCTCCCGCCCTCTGTGGTTCAGATTGTCGGCCGCTGACACGTACTTCTTCGCGATCAGGTGTTTTTCCCCCGACAAGCTGTGAGTTGATTTGGCATTGGGACAAGATGAACAGCTTGCTAACGTACTTGCCTGTGGTAGCTCAATCTGTTCAAAAACGTGTAAGTTCCTCCCCTCGAGCGACGTCCAAATCCTCGGAGTCACTTAGAAGTGTTGAAGCTGACTCTTCGCCCAGCAACATCACCACCAAGTAGGTTTAAATCCGAACTGATAAGCCGTTGACATTCTGGATTCCTTACATAGCGATAGCATGGCTGGAAACAGACGCTCTGTAAGTATTCAACTGTCCACTCCCAGCCTCCACATACATGCTCGAGAATACCACCATATGCGAGTTGCTAATGCAAGTCCAGCATCGCCCCAGAAAGAAGGCTGCTGTAGGAAACACTGCTCATAAAGTCCTTCGACAATGTGCCAACGACTTTGCTCAAGAGCGAGTCATCCCCCACTCGGGGTGAGAGGCATCCCCCACTCGGGGTGAGAGGCATCCCCCGCTCGGGGTGAGAGACAGCCCCTGTTCGGGGTCAGGTAATTTACCTAGGAATCCCTCCAAAGTATGTCTAACGCTGACCCCAACTGTCCCGATAGAAACGAAAGGCCGTAAGTTGAACAACGGTCGAGTTGCAGCAAGTGTCTCTAACATGCTAGGACGATATTACGGCCGACGAGGCCACTGCTGCCCCTGGGGCAGAAATTGCAAGTGAAAACATGTTCAAAGGTATTGCTACTTCGTTAACTGGTTTAAATAGTCGAATTCCGATGTGGGCAGCCGTTCCGGCGCATCTGGGGCTGCGGGTCCCAAACTCGACACGGTCCCGGCCCCCTGGGACGGGCATTTGAAGCCTAGAGCTGTAAGTCACAACTGTCCTCATCATACACGATCTTGGACTTAGCTAACTTCTCACAGCCGAAGCATGTGAGTACTTAATAACTCTATTGTATTGTGCTAAAGCTGAAGCAAAAAGGCCTTGGCAGGTGCCGCCAAGGAGTTTCTTGGAGTAAGTGCTGACAAACAGCAATCCTAGATAAAAAGTATACTAATGAGTTTTTACCATAGAACAAGAAAATTGCGCTCAACGTAAGTAACCATACAATTCCCGGCTACTTGGACAACAGCTGACAGTTATTTAGTATCACAAAGAGCGCGGCACCGTAAGATGAGACACCCTCGACACGACTTAAAACAAGACTGATACCAAGGTTATCATAGTACAACCACCCTGTCCTTTCTGTATGTGCAGGTGTCGATCCCAACAGACGTGCCGCAAATCGTCACTCAGCAGCTGCTTAACAGGTCGTGTCGAAATCGCAATCAGTTTGCAAGCTGAAGTGGATTCAACGGACGGAACGGTCAGGTTCATGGCTTCCGATGCTATGCATCTTTATCCTAAGACTCGTGTAAAAAAGAATGAAAAGAAGGCCTCTGTAAGAGATGCCACTGATCACGAGGGGCCCTCTTGGGACAAGGTGAGTAATCATGATCAGCCTTTATCATACTCGATGCTGAGCAGACCGACTCTTTATAGAAGCGCAAGACCTGGAAATATCGTAATCATCAAGACTCGAATGCCAAGTATACTTCTTAGTCTCAAATGACAATTGATCCGGCCGCCCATCCGCTGTTTGGCTTCACATGCCTACGCGGTATGTAAGTAACCTTCCCAGACCTCTCTGAGCATTTCAATACTAACCACTTATAGCCCGAACTCCAGCTCAGTAGTCGAAGCTAGTCCCATCACCGGACTACCTCATGCCGAGCGCAACACACTGGAAGAACGTCTGAGCGACCTTGGGTTACTTGCAGTCAAGGATAAATATGAGATTTTAATCAGGTGCCTCAATTGGTAGTTATGCGCAGAGTCTAAGAGTGCCCAACAACCAAAGTAGCTTTGGAGAATCGTCTAAACTACGCCTTTTCTACTGCAATCGTCTCGTCCGTGTCACTGTTTCCTTGTCCCTCCGCTATACCCAATTGCCGAATTACCAACCAAGCTGGAAAGATCGCAACTGCCCAAATACCAAAGTTCAAATACGTGCTCCCCACAGTTGCCATGATCGGAAGAGCATTTAGGCCGTAGCTGAGCGCCTGCCATGCCGACTCCGTGCCCCTCAATAACGCAGACAACCGCACCGTCTCTTGCGAATTGTTTGAGATCTGACCAATGATGAAGAAAGCAAAGTTGTAGTTGAGCTGGAATCCGGTGACAAGGAAGACAAAAACACCGAAAGCGGCACCAAAGCCAGGATCACTCCAATCGTAAATGGGTCCATCGCGCTTGAACTTGGTAACGTTGATGGTGAGCCAGATCCACCACCCTCCTTGGAGAGTCATGATGACAGCGTAAGCATATCGGGCCCGCTTCTTGAGAGCAATTTGGTTCTGATCAAGCCAAACACCCAGAAGGTTTCCCGCGATGACGGCCACGATGCCGGAGACGAACGAACCGAGAGCTCGAGCTCGCACGCTGAACCAGAGAGCGATGTAGGTGAAGAAGACCGACTCAGAGTAGACTCCTTGGCCGATCCAGAAGATGAGAAGCAGAAATTCTTTCTTGAGGAACGTTCGTGTTGTGGCCTTGAATTCCTTCCATGGATGATCGAGGATGCTCATGTCGACCTTCTTCCCGTCTGCGCGTTGGACTTGAGATGGCTTGTTGAGAAGGAATGCGACAAACGGCCCCAGCGCTTGAAGAGCGATGAAGATGAGATAGACCTTGTACGAGACCTTGCCCGCCTCACTCCGATCAGCGTTGAGACCAAGGTTGATCGCGCCGCCCAAGATCTGTCCCAGTCTTGTGAACGAAAGCCAATACGCCACCAAACGTCCTCTATTTCTGGGTTCTGGATATCCAATCGCGATAGCTGCTTCAGCCGCCCAAAAGATACCCGCCGAAACACCACAGCACGCGGCGCCAAAGATGACAAGCCACTCAACGCCATAGCGATTGTTCAGGTAGAGACCTGCGCTGTAGGGAGCAAAGCCGATGGTTCCGATGACGAGAGCGCCTTTGATCCCAACATATTTGACGATACCGCTGGTGAACCAGCATGAGATGATCATGAGGCAGAACGTGAGGGCGTTGCCGGTGTTGACAAGGTAGGGTTTCTGAGCGCCGCCTGCACCGAGGGAGTTCATTGCGCCCCAGAGACCGGGGGCTGCGAAACTGCAGAGGCCGAGAATAGTTGCATTGTAAATTGGCGAGCGGTTCCATTTTGCTGGTAAACATTAGCGTAAGCTTTGAACTGGAGATGGTGAACTCACGTTTAATCGGAGCCTCACTGAGCGCCTCAGCATTTGCGGCATCGGCCCTATGCTTTTTTTCTGATTCCGACATTTTGGTGAAGGTTCCAAGTGCCGGGCAAGTCGAGAGATTTGCCGAATTTTGTGCGACTTGAATGCAGCTCAAGAGGAGATGATAACTGATGTTGAAGTGCGGCGAAGCATCAAGATAAAGTAGTCGGAATAAAAGAATGACACCACACAACCCCAGCAATGATGACAAGGACCAAGATAAACTATGCAAATCAACCCCTCGGTCGGTGATGGTGGTTGTTTCGATCAAGTTAGATCGCCGAACATTGATAAGGGTGCATGCGGTTGCGTGATATCCGTCTCCGGCTTCGTCATCGGCCCTTGGCTGTACCACGAATCGGAAACCGCCATATCCCGCCTGCCTTTGATGTCTCACAGATTTTGGTAGAGTACATTTCGGATAATCGAAGTATATCTATAATGACATCCATCAAGCAATCGCAACGTTGCCTTGACCTCCATTGAGGCGGATATTGATGATACGCAAGCAACACTTCACCTAAGATACCATAAACTGAGGTCCAATCTTGATACAGTAAAGTAAATATATTATTTGATCCATCCTGTTAACATCGTAATACGGTTCGTCTTGCTTTTATGTTAGTATTTCTATGCGTAATAAAATATGGACGTTTGTCGCATGTTCAAGTCTCTGACAGGCTACATACCTAAGCTCGGTGGGCTCGATCTTAACCATAGGTGATTTGAACGCCTTTGCCCATCCAAAAGTCATGTCGCCGGCGTCAGCGCGCCAAAGAATCATTTTAAGTCAAAAGACCTAAGGTGTGATTCTTATATTATACGCCTTGCATAAATCCATGAGCGAGGTTGTGACTGACCTGGCGATCGAGGTTGCGATTGACTTGGAAAGTGATTCTGTCGAATTTTGGACATCTGCGAAACATGGTCTTTTGAAACCCAAGCTTTCGACTCGGTCAAGCAGCCATGGCTTATATTCCTCCCTATACAAAGACGTAGATCCATGTACGTCAATGCTTTCCAACGCGTGCACCAACCCGACACAGACAGGGCAAATAAAGAATCCTGCCAAGAACATCGGGATGGGTCCACTTGCCAACTGCGAATACCATCGGGTCGAAGCACCACTCAATACAAAGTCATCCCCAAACACGTGGTTTCCAGAGCAGCAGGTACAATAGCCATCCTCGAGGTTCTTGATAACATCGGGAACCGTAAGCTCAAGGTGGAGAAACTTGGTCTTTGAAGCGAGCAAAGCTGTGGGAATGGCGCAGAGCGAACCGAAGTTGGGGGATGGAAAGCTGAAGGGGTTGGGGCAGGTTGAATCCAACGCGGGATTGTACAATCTGTCTGGGTGTGCCAAGTAGAATCGATACATTTCGAGTTCTCTGATTTCCTTGATGTTACCGAAAGGCGACCAGCGTTTGTACCGCTCGCAGACAAGTTCGTCGCCTCCCGCGCTAGCCTGTAGCAGCTTGGGTCGTATCAGGGAATACCGGTGGCTCTCTGGGCAGCGTTTCGAGAAGTCGATAATCATGTACCAGACCTCAAGTGGTAGTGTTTTTCCTCCTTGGGAGGTGATGAGGGTCGGCGAGGAAGAGACGATGCTTTCGATATAGGCTGGTCCTAACAGCGTCTTGTTGAAAAGCATGAGCGGCCGCCACTTCAGCAATTCGCCGACTTCTTCTGGTACGACCGGCCTCATTTTGATCTTATTATGAGGGTTCACTTGAGTAGAGGAGTGGGTGGGTATGTTGGAGTGTGTTGAAAGAGGTAAGTAGCATAGAGTGTCACAGCAAGCGAGGGTCCTGTTAAATACGTTTACTCCTAAAGTGTGACTCTGTGCTCCAAACTTTCACATGAAACTTGTGTGCAGACATACTCTCAGAGCCAAGGCAACCACAAACTTATCGCCAACATAATACTTTTCATTGGAGTGCGAGAAGCGATCTAGGTTTAAGCAATCCGCCACCAAGGCTCCCGGGACCCGCCACCTCCCACAGCCAGCCTAATCAGTTGGGTGGTCAGCGACAGCCAGGTTGCCCCAAGCTCGTGACCACGAATAACATTCATCAAGAAGCTGTGGCGTAGTAGGTGGAAGCCAGAATCTCCATGGCCCAGTTCAGCATCTACAATATGCACTTTACTTTAATTATTGCATAGTTTGACTAGCTATAAGTAAGTGGTTTTGTAAAAGGTGCCTGACTTCATGTCTGTTCTCATGGTGTGACGTGTGACTGGGCTTTCGCGATGACGGCGTACATTAAAACCCCAGAACTACAGTCTCACAAGTAGTGCCTCTGGAAAGTAGCCAAGTTACCCCAGGTATCAAGCCCCACCAAGGGAGATAGATTGCCAAGAAAAGAGAGTTCATTTGTAGATTGACTGAGCTTGAAGCAACGACCTCAAGACAAGGGGGGTTTGACGACGCCTAAGAATGCCGACACTGGGAATCAGAAGACGGAAGGCACCCAACCGAAAGTTAATACATGAATATGTATTAAGAGTCCATGAGTAACGGATCTAGCAGCATTTTAATACCCTGATGATGGACAAGAAGCCAGTCCTTTAGGGTATGGCGCAACTATCAGCAGGATAAGACAGTCAAGACAAGTATCTCCTGCGAAGTCACCTTACCCTACTACCCATCCAGTTACCCTCCAGTACGGCCCGTCTAAACAAGCTTAAACCCATCTCCCCCATCCTGAAAAATACCTGATCTCTGGGGTGCAGTGCGGGTAAACTCGCCGTCGAACCGAAATGTATTGTTTGAGGCCAACGGCGGTTTCTGGGGTACAGTTCACGACCCCGGAACAATTCACGCAAACTCATTATTCATATTAGTCAACGAGGTGAATGACCCCACAGATAAGCGATTGATGGCGGAGATGAGGGTGTCGTGGAGTAAAATTTGATGCAGAATTTTATGAGGCTGACTCGTTGTATAAAAGAGCTTTTCACCCCAGACTTTTTCGGTGGAGATTGCTGCAAGCCAAGACGGCAGTTAGTTCAACCAAGACAGACAGCTTCTCTCGCATTATGTCTGAATGTAGACGATGTGTTTTTCACTCATCAAAAACAGAGTTTGGGGCCCCGGAGTAATCTCGTTGTCCGGGAGCGGTCGAGATTTGATCTCGACACGTAGAGAGTTATTGTTAGGATATCATAACGTGATGATATCCACACGCGCCTTTTCGGTGACGGAGCCTCACGGGATTTCTCACCAATGACACGTTTCATGCACGTAAAAATAACATCAGGGGTCTCATGCCATACAGACCCACAACCGGCAGATTCTTTCCACCACCTTACGACTTTGGGTCAAGCGTCTTCCTTTTGGAAGCTTTTTCTGGGTTTTTCGTACGCCACTCCGAGCGCGGCTCGCGAACCTCCCTTCGGGCCTTTTCTCTCGAAAGCTGGATTCCTCACCAGGAACAGATGGAGTCTGTGAGATCAGATGGTACAAGGGACCGTTAACTCCGGCGTCGGCATGACATGAATGAATTACGAGTTTAAATGGAATAAAAACCTGGAGAAAGGCGCTGTTATCTAATCGTGACAGCAACCGCGACATGGTGCCGGGTCCGATCTTTCGGAGGTGGATACCCCGGATACACCGAGCATGCGCCATGGCTCGCCTTGCGCCGTTTTTCCCGTCTCAAAGCTCTTCTAGCCGGCTGTTTTCGTTCTTTTAAATACATTTATCCTGTCTCACCTCCCCCAAAGACCCTGTTTGATCTCTTGTCATCCCTCCCCATCGTTCGTCGGGTACCTATTCCGTACACTTCTCGACTCTTCCACACTGACCGTTCCTTGGTCATATGAGTAGCCACTCTTCTACCCATCCTCCCACCGAACATACTCCTCTACTCACTCACGACGCAATGGCTACCACCTCACCCAAGGTCAAGTCTGCAAAACCCGCCAACATGATGGATGATCCTGAGACGGCGGATGACATCCAAGTCTCCCAGCAGAAGCAGCTCGCTACCCAAGGAAATGCTCACTTCCACCGCCTGGGCTGGAAGCGTCTCGCCGTCGTCACAATCGTCGAGGCTATTGCGCTCGGCGCTCTCAGTCTCCCTTCAGCCTATCACACGCTGGGCATGTTCCCCGGTGTCTTCCTCACAATTACTCTCGGTCTCGTCTCCATCTTCACCAGTTACATCGTCGGCCAAGTCAAGCTGAAATTTCCCCACGTGGCGCACTATGCTGATGCTGGACGCCTTCTTCTCGGTCGCTTTGGCTACGAGATTTTCGGTGCTGCCCTCGTTCTCGAGCTTGTTATGGTTGTTGGCTCGCATGCCTTGACTGGCAGCATTGCGCTCATCGACATTAACGGTGGACACGTCTGCTCCATCGTCTTCTCTGCTGTTTCAGCTATCATCCTCCTGATCCTCGCCATCCCCCCATCTTTCACCGAAGTCGCCATTCTTGGATATATCGATTTCGTGTCTATCGTTGCTGCCATTGGCATCACCGTCATTGCTACCGGTATTCAGGCGAGCGATTCGGCTGGTGGACTCTCTGGCGTTGAGTGGTCTGCTTGGCCCAAGGAGGACCTCAACTTCGCCGAGGCATTCGTCGCTGTCAGCAACATCATTTTCGCCTTCAGTTTTGCAATTGGTCAATTCTCCTTTATGGACGAGATGCACACACCAACCGATTATATGAAGTCCATCTACGCCTCCTGCTTCATTCAAATTTCGATCTACACTCTGACTGGCGCTCTGTGCTACGCTTTTATCGGACCCTCAGTGCAATCTCCCGCGTTGCTCTCCGCCGGGCCACTTATTTCCAAGATCGCCTTTGGAGTCGCGCTACCTGTCATCTTTATCTCCGGTTCGATCAATTCCACCGTTGCCCTCCGATATCTTCATGGCCGTATGTTCAAGGACTCAATTTTGCGATATGTCAACACACCCATGGGTTGGGTCAGCTGGATTACCCTTGTGACCATCTTCACCATCATCGCCTGGGTCATCGCTGAGGCTATCCCCATTTTCTCTGACTTGCTCTCTCTGGCCTCGGCTCTCTTTGTCTCCGGTTTCTCTTTCTGGATTCCCGGTGTCATGTGGTTCGCCTTGCTCTGCGAGGGCAAGTGGTTTGAGAAGAAGAACATGTTGATGAGCTTGGGAAGTATCCTGGCTTTCATCATCGGAATTGTTACACTTGGTGCTGGCACCTATGCCACCATCAAGGATATCGTAAGTTGTCTTTACCATGAGATATCTGCTTAACAGACTAACATATTGCCAGATCGACATTACTTCCGATGGCTCTGCTCATGCTCCTTTCACTTGCCGATCAAGCTAGACTGATTCGGCATGACGGTGGTTGTTCAAAAGCGAAATGCATTTAGATATGTGATGTACATTAATACAATCTCGATTCTTGGTTATATAATATTCCAATAAGTCTTATATATACAGCGCATCCATTATGCATCGTCGTTCAATTGTCTCGTGACCAAAGAAGAACATTGTCGCATAGCCCACCCAACATCAATACAATTTGGTTCCTGACGCAAGAAATAGAATACTAACGAGCCTTCTGAAAAAGGACGAAGTTCTGAAACATATTACAAACCTACACCGTGAAGGACAAACATGAAAGAAACCACAACATCGTTATGTACCACGCGCAACTATTATCATATATATCGTTAACGAGCTGAAGGATATAGCCACTCTTGAAAGCTTGACCTGCGGCGAACAGGTGATCCAGTTGACCCTTCACTTCCAACACTGGCCCGACGATCGTTACTATTTCGTCGGACCCAGGTGTTGGTCCAGTCGGCTCCGGTCGCAGGAGTCGTAGTAGTCATTACTCTCTGCTTGTAGGCTATTGATTGAACTGGTCAGTAGCGATCAAGAACGAAATTATGGAGGGACGAGCACGTACACGACGAATCGTTCCTATTGGGGTCCTCTAGAACAGCCTGGAGCTTGGCCTTGGCTTTCTCCGCAAGGGTTTGAGGTGCCATATCGACTTATTTTTAGTTCAGTTTAATATCCTGAAAGATTTTGAAGTATCAAGAAGTGTAATAGGTAGGAAAGACAAATGAAATGAGAAGAAAATGGCTTCACAAGCACAAAAGAGGGGAAACGGCTTCTTATGTTACAGCATGCACACGACCTCGTGACCATCCGTCATCTTGAGGAAAGGATACAGATTGTTTGTCAGCTCTCCATTGAAGCACATTGCGCATTTCCTATTCCGGTATAAGATAAACTATCACCAACTGCTTTGCTGTGCCATGGGCGTCAGAAACGCGGGGTAGCTCAACACCAACCAATTATCCAACGACTGACGTTGCGTTGGTTCAAACGTTGTCACCCTCCTTTGTAAGACGGGTCAGACGATTGGTTGCTAAAATGATTTGTAAAAAGGGGTGTTTGGACTCGGCTCGGCAGTGTCGAGGACGGGCGGGGTGATTTATCTAGATGTTTCTGCTG